CTGGCTCAGTTAAACCTGTTGTCACTTTGGCACCTGCCCTTGTCAAAGAAACTGATCTACAAGATTCAGATGATATCACTTATACTGATTTGGACTATGAAGATATCAAAGGTTTGTCTAGGTTAAAGAACTCTGAAGTATTATCAAATCTAGATCATAAATTGCACCATGTGACAAATGATCAAAAACAGCAAGTCACAGACTTAATTCATGAGTTCACTGATATCTTCTCTGATGTACCGACTAAGACATCTATAGCTTATCATGATGTTGAAGTCCAAGATGTAACCCCTATTAAGCAACATGCTTACAGAGTAAATCCATCAAAATCAGAAGATTTGAGAGCTGAGGTCAATTATATGTTAGAAAATGACATAATTGAAAAGAGCAATAGCCCATGGAGTTCACCTGCTTTCATTGTACCAAAATCAAATGGTGGACGTAGGCTAGTAGTTAATTATATCAAAGTGAATCGAGTAACAAAGACCGATTCTTATCCCATACCACGAATTGACGACTGTATTGACAAAATTGGAACTGCTAAATATGTCAGTAAATTTGATCTCCTCAAAGGATTCCTAGGGGTTCCATTAACTGAAAGAGCAAAACAGGTATCTGCCTTTGTTACTCCTGATGGTTTGTACCAATTTAAGGTTATGCCATTTGGTATGAAAAATGCACCTGCCACATTTCAAAGAATGATGAACAGCTTATTAGCAGATCTCAAAAACACTGGTGTATACATCGATGATGTAATTGTCTATTCTGACACTTTTGATGAACACATGTGTTTGCTGCGTAAGTTGTTTGAAAGAATTTCTCTGGCCAATTTAACAATCAATTTGGCTAAAAGTGAATTTTGTAAAGCCACAGTTGAATATCTGGGCCATGTGGTAGGTCAGGGGCAGGTCAAACCAGTGAGTGCCAAAGTGGAATCAATTACACAACTCCCAGCTCCTACTAACAAGAAAGAATTAATGAGAAGTCTTGGAATGGCTGGCTTTTATAGGAAGTTTTGTCCAAATTTCTCTTCAATTGCTCTTCCATTGACCAATTTACTTGGGAAAAACATCAAATATGTGTGGTCTGAGCAATGTCATACAGCCTTTGATAAAATCAAGGCCATACTAAGTGAAGAACCAGTGCTTGTTGCACCTGATTTTAGCAAGCCATTCAAGATTCAAGTAGATGCTTCTGATGTAGGAATGGGAGCTGTCCTATTACAAGAAAGGGATGGTATTGATCATCCAGTGTGTTATTATTCAAAGAAATTTGATAAACATCAGAAAAACTACTCCACCATAGAAAAGGAATGTCTAGCATTACTTCTGTCATTACAACATTTTGAAGTATATGTTAGTGCACCAGTTCATGCAGTTACTGTATTTACTGATCACAATCCGCTGACATTCCTTCATAGAATGAAGAACAAGAATCGTAGATTGTTGAGGTGGAGTCTGTTATTGTCAGAGTACAATCTTGACATAAGACACATCAAAGGCAAGGATAATTTAATTGCTGACACTCTTTCAAGAGTGTAATGTCTCTATTTTTAAGAGGCTATTTGATTTATACTGCATTTGCCTAAGGCTTTTTATTGATATAATAAAAAGATTGTACTTAGAGTGTGATTTGATAATATTATTGTAATATGTTTTTGGGTTTTACTCAGTCTGTAACTATATAAATATTATTGTATTTGACTATTGTAAACAAATGTTATGTAAGTCTCAACCTCATCTTTAAAAAATTGTAACCCTCGCTACACCAGATATTATTGTAAAAGTTTTTCATTGTATTCAAAACTTTTCTTTTAAGGAGGGAGGTGTTACAGTATTATATTCAATTATATTCACATTAAGTTTAGTTTATCAATATGCATACACTGTAACTGATCTTCATTAGAGATCTTAGGTCAAGTCAAGGTCACAATGACATTATATCTTGTAAACATAACTGAACTGAATGACTCATTAACTCTTGGCCTTCTAGAAAGTACTGGAACTGTAATCATTTAATCAAGATTGAATCATGTGACTTAAGATGTCCAATCAGTGTTATTTTCTAGAAATCGTAACTTCTTGAAACATCTGGACTATGCCTTTGCACTATATAATGAGAGAGCTGATTTGGGCTGGCAGCAGAATTTCAAAGTCTATCAAAAGGACATCTTCTTAGCAGAAAATTACAGACACCTACTTTGGGAACATTTATAACAGTGCAAACATACAACCTGAGGACTTTATATGGACATATATTATAACACACACTATATACGGATTATCATATACATTCGTGGATTATCATAAACATTTGTGGATTATCGTTAAACATTTGTGGATTATCATCAAACATTTGTGGATTATCATCAAACATTATTGGATACGAACATTATAGGATTACAACAAACATTATTGGATTATTACAAACATTGGAGAACTATTAACGATTATTAAAACATTTCGTGATCTGGAACATTCCCAAGGATCGTCAACGACATTTATCGACATCAAGAATAAGCCGTATCGTTGATTGGACATCACTTAAGTATTAAACCTCCTTTATATTATTGTTATATTATTTAGTTTTCAAAATATAAATATATTGTTATCATATTTTAATTGCTGTTTTTACTTTCTGTTATTTTCGAACGTAACAGACAACTTTGTCATTTCGGCCTGATATTTAGCACACATGTAGCCTAGATCATTCAATTTCGTTCTACATTACATATTTCATGAACATTGGACTGATAGTCGCAGTGTTACAGCACTTTAAACAAGGTGCCCCACTTGGTTAAGGAAGTGGACTTGATTTTTGGAGAGTGATCATGGAATAAAAACGTTATTCAATGATTTCTCGTGAAATTCAGAAAATATTCTTCCCTCGAAAATCTGTATTTCAGGAATCATTGAATAACTGATAGTATCCGATTGTGATCATTTGTATTATGGAATGAAAAATTCAAAACCAATAAAAATACTGAAATACTGTCTGATAACATGACCGTAGTTCATGCAATTAAAATGACACCAAGAGAACCAAGACAGTAATACAATTAGTGAGAAAACTTGTTCTTATTATACTGAAAAACAACATTAATGTCAAATGCAATCATATACCAGGAAAACAAAATGTTTTAGCTGATTCACTGTCTCGTTTGAAATTACAGGAGTTTCAAACGAAACATCCATTGGCCAACAAAGATCCAATCAGGTTACCAGGACATCTACAACCAGATAATTATATAGTGGTTTGAATGAAGCTTTGGAAGCCTCATTAGCAAAAAACAAGAGCAACATATGCTAAGAAAGAAAAGTTAGAACAATAGTTTCAAAATGAGACTCACTTAAATATATTTTCTGGAACACCTGAAAACACTGCATGTTGTATATATTTGTCGAAAGGATATGCACCAAATTCAAATAAGACATTCATTTATGCCTTGGTCACATTTGCTCCAATTTTCACTACGGCGCCCAGCCGATTGAGTATTTTGTTCAAAATTGAATACAATATCGAACAAAACACCCAATCGGGCGGGTGCCGGCCGATGGACCGGAGCAAATATGACCAAGGCATTAAGCACTAGCATGTAAACATAAAGTAAATAACGTGCAAGACCCTACAGATAATTATCTAGTTAAGCAAACGCTAAATGGGTTGTGTAAAATGAAACCAATGGTAGATACTGGTTGCCTGGAAGTATTGAGATACTAAAACAACGTGTAAAACATACAGAAACATTGACTTAAACTACTATGAAAAGGTTAATATGTATAAAACAATTTAATAGAAAAGGGTACATCATTATAAAATTGACATCTTAAATGAAAATCAAAATCATTCAATGTATAAACTGTATAAACAGAGAGATAATGAAATTTGCCCGGTATCAAATATGAGACCATATTTATCTGTTAGGCCAAATGCCAGTGACTCATTATTCATATATGATAAAGGTAAAACTATTAAAAGAAATGAATTGACAAATACAATGACAAAATGTTAAGCAAAAGCAGGACTATCAACAGAACTTTATGAATCTCAAAGCTGAGGGAAAGGGGGTGCAACATATGCAGCCAAGATAGGAATGAGCAAAACACATGCGGTTAATTGTAATCCAATTATAAGTTTGGAGTAATATTTTTGTAAATGTTTCAAATCATATAACTGTAAAATAGAAAACACTAGATACGAGTATATGCGTATAGTCATATTCCATACAATTCATGACATTTGAACATTTATTTTATTTCTTTAATGACTCATGTTATTGTATTTGTATATTGTATTCATATTATATTATATTTTTGTATTGACCTATGTACCACTTTAAATGTTCACAGTTTATCATGTTTATTGTAAATTTAACTATGGGCAGTTATACACCCCCTGGGGTGTCATAGCCTGTATAATGTTGTAATTTTTGTCATGAAAACTGAAATAAATTATTTTGAAATTGAATTGAATTGAATTGAAATATTTAATTGCCTAAATGTCACGCAGAACGCAGATTGTCATTGTTGCAGCTGTGCGACAAAATATAAATATTGGTATTTATCGTTCGTAGCGTCATTCGATCAATATCACTATCATTCAATCAATATCACTATTATTCAATCCGTTCAATTGAATAACCTCCAAGATTATATTTTGTTTTCCTGAATTCACAACTTGTGTCTGTAATTGTCTTAGTAAACAGTCTTCTCCAGTTGGCGATCATCGATCAAATAATACATATTTATCGGACATGCGTTGAAGAAGTGCAGTCCTTCGAAACGATAGAAGCAAGTCCCCTTAGCTATGTCAATCTCAGAATTTCCCTCTCGATCGTCAAAAAGCTCCACGTCTAGATTGAATCCAAGTATCAAAGCAACATTTGGTATCGGTCACCTGGAGTAAAGGATATACAAGTGGTAATATTAAATTACACTTTATGATGATGAAATATTTATAAAACATAGATTTAAAGAAGGTATTTACCTCGAATTGCTCCATTAATTCCTAGAAGCAGAAACACAAATTAGCTCTACTAATTTTTGAATCTCTTCTACATCTTTGATTTGCTGTTCTTTCGGAGACACTTTCAGGAATTCTTTTCCAAATTTCACTGCGTCATTAAGGACTTGATCGGTGTTGATTCGAATGGCAACGTGCATGATACCCTTGCATGCAGTTCCATATTTCTTCCATCTGGGCTTACCTTCGTTAGTGCTCTGTAATAAAATGAATTAATTGTAAAAATTAGATAACATTGACTTTAATACGCAACTACAATTTTTATAGCTCATTTGCAGTGTACTGCAAAACTCATAATAGTGACAAATCTATTTTTTGTATTTCTAAGTTCACAAACTTGTCCAATAAACAGTTTTTAGACTAATATTATTATTTGATGTCAACTGTGACATTACATCATCATTATAAAGAAGTATAAAAATCACAGCCAATCGGTATCGGCTTATGAGACACTAATAATGATGCAGTGTCACCGCCAGAACCGAACGAACGATCGTGTGAATAATGCATGTTTTCGCGCGAATTTTTTTATTTCCGACCCGTCTAACCAATAGAAACCTCTGTACATGATACCTTTCGCTTGTCGGTATTACTAAATCACCCGACAAGGAGGATTGGCTTCCAGGATCGAAACTCGATATTTACCAACAATGAAAACGTCAAAATGTCGTTATTTTCTGAAATTATAACTGACTATTAATAAAAAAATAAACAGTCCAAAAGGTTTTAACCAATATCTCGATAATTTCTTGTGAGTTTTGGAATATTTCGTTTGGAAATAAGACCAAATTCACGATTTAAATGTTGAAGTGAACAAAATGGCGGCTGTTTGAATTCGAATATTGTATCCCGACATCTCCATATATGGGACAGAATATCGATGCTGCACTCTGGGAGCCAATCCTCCTTGGTCATCCAATGAAAACTTGTGTTGCCGTCACATGATGCTTTCCCAACCAATGGAATAGCACATAATGCAGCCAACTGTGGACAAGTTTGCCCACGTCAAATCAACAAAAATTGTCGCGCGATGAATAAGATATTCGTGCGATCGTTCACGTAGTTCTGGCGGCAATATCGCGTCATTACTATTCATTTATACATAGTAAAGTATAGTATATGTAAACTGATAAAAACTGTTTAATAAAATGAATCAATTTAAGATTTCAAATTGTAGCTCAATAGTCATTGGAAGTACAGTGCGTATCAAAAAATGCAACAGATTGTTATCTCGGAAAACCACAAAACCAGTGATAACAGCATTGATTTCATTCAATGCACCATAAAGCCATGTGACTCCTCTTTGCAATGATATATCATTCATTGATATTTGGTACGGTTGGGCGAGTTATCATTCCATTTGCAAAGTGGGCCAAAATTAGCTTGGGACCAAGTTGTAAACATCCCAAAAGTCAGTGTACGGAGCCCAATGCAATATTGGAAGAAAACATAAAACCAATGCTGAGTGCATTCTTTTCATTCAACGTACCAAAACGCCAAATTACTCCTCTTTGCAATGGAATATCATTCATTCACAGGGAGTCATGGCTGGCCGAATAATCATTAATTTAGCAAAGTGGGCCAAATTCAGCTCAGACCCAACTTTTAAACATTGCAAAAGTCAGTACAATGGGGCATAGAGGCATAGAAGGTGTGACAGGTGTGGCATAGTAAAGTGTTCATACTCATACTCTTGCAAGAATACATGTACATCTTATACCCCTCCAAATTGCCACCACTTCCTTGCACATAAAGATGCGCTCATCTGTCCACGTCATGCATGTTTCAGCCCTGAGTCATCTGTGGGTTAAAGCAGAGAAAAACAGCCCATGGGCAATTCTTTCTCGAGGTTTTGCAATATCTGGTGGAGGAATTGTGAGCACAGATGCTCCTGAGATAGCTCCAAAAGAAAAAGTCACAACAATTCAAGTCAGGGGAACCTCCATTGGCACTTAGCCCTTGCACTGATTTTTGCAATATCTATAACTTGGTCCATAGCAAATTTTGACCCACTGTGCAAATGGAAGGATTTCTCACCCAACCATTACCACATGTGAATGAATGACATATCATGATCATTGCAAAGAGGAGTGACGTTGCTTTATGGTGCATTGAATGAAATTGATGTAGTCATCACTAGTTTTGTGATTTTATGAGATAACTACGTGTTGCGTTTTTTGACCCTGCATGATTTCAGTGAAATAAAAAAACGTCTTATGCCTCAATATGCACGCGTTTTTCTGTGGCTCACCTTGCACGTGCACCTTTCAATAGCTTTCTTGTAATTCTCATATGCCTCATCTAGACAACCTGCTTGCTCGTAGAATTTTGCGGTGACAATGTGGATGTCGTGGCCCTTATGGAGCGATGCTTTATCTTTCTCTTGCTGTTTAACGATATTTGTTAGTTCGTTTATAGCGTTCTTACCACTTTGGATGGTGTCTTTTCTTTTCTCTGGATCGGTCTCTAATATCAGGATTTTTTGACAGATAAAGATTATTTTTTCCAAACAGATGCTTTGATGAAATAGATCATTCTTAGTGACTTTGAGAAGTCCATGCTGGTACCAATCCTCTTTGTGTGTACGTTCAAGAAGATTTTTGTACTCGTCCTTCCCTTTATATAAATCTTTAAGCTTCTTTTCATCTATTTTCTGCGACCCGTATTCGTCTTGATCTTCCGAGTAGAGGTACATCAGCCCATTACGTTGAGTAAGTACACTATGGAGAACATCATGTTTCGTTTTCTCCTTGATGATCTTACACAAGGCAGACGCAAGCCATATGCTAGGTATATAGCTGCTGTCCGCTTTGGTAGGACGTTCCTTTTTGTAGAAATACATTCGACCATAGCTGTAGAAAACAGATGCATATAGCTCTGGGAGGTATACAGCTTTATTCATGACGTCTACTGGTAATGCTAACTCCAAGTCTACGAGCTGTTGATATGTATTCGTGTCGATTCTGCTATGGCGACGAATTAACTCTGGTAGTTTTTCTTCTCCAACTTTGGATTTCATCAGGTTCACATCGGCTTGGTTCAAGACGGTGTTAGTCACAAGATTTTCGATCAGATCATCCCCAAGATCCTGAAGCTTGGTATATATAAATCTAGCCTTCTCGTCTGCTAACTTCTCTGGATCATTTGGATCACCATTTGCATTCGTAAGTGTCGCTCTTACATGTCGATCCAATTCTTTTTCACTCTTATTTATTGACTTGTACATCATATCAACGCTTTTCCGGAGTTTTTCTTCTGCAACTTTAGGGTAGTCTTTCTGGGTGTAGGAATAGCCGAGGATATCATACATAGCAATCGCCATGGCTTTCATATCGAACGTGATGTCCATGAACCCCATCTTGTGTACATGCTGTAACACAATTTCTACGTGTGGTATGAGGCGTGTATTCTTCCTAAAAAACGACAAATATCTGGTATCCTTGGCAAAGTATCGCAGAAGCACTCTCATGAGCATCTCCAAGACGAGCTGATGGTCGTCTTCATCCATTGCAAAGCGTATTCCAAGTTGAAACATGCTATGTGTATCCACAAAGCGATCATTATTTTCTTTGTTCGAACTTGATCTAGTCACATATGACCTCTTTCGCATCTTTGAAAGCAAGTTGTCTATATGATGATCAATGTGTTCATCTTCAAACTGCTTTTCGTCGTCGGTGTATTTCTGTCTCAAAATGTCCCTAAGTATAAACTCAGGAATAGCTTTCGAGTCGAAAAATCCCATCGTTTTCAGAACAAAACAAAGAGGCTTGTTAGCAGATGCAATTCCATCTATCATTGCTTTTGCATTCTTCACGTGTGCCCCGACGGGAGATTTATCATAACTGAGACCAACCATTGGGGAATCCCGCTGTTCAATATCTCTGTACAGTTTCTTTTCTTTTATTTTACTCAGGTAATATTTTATGGATCGATTTGTGTCTTTGATGTCAAATTTAGCACAAGTGAGAGCACTTGGAAGATGACTCAGTTCTTTCCATAACGTAATTTTATCCTCGTCCTCCTCCTTTAAATTACTCAGGAAATCGAGAACTTCTTTTTTGGTAAAGCCAACCAATTCCAAGGTATCATCTAGCAGAAGATCTAGCTGAGTTGTCAAAATAACAGATATGTTATTGGTGCCATCGGTTTTCGATGGGTCTGGCTTGAAGCTATGCACTATAGCACGATGAGTTTCGTCCCCAACATCATCAAATATCAACAGATAATTGAGTAATTTCTTACCACGTTTCGAAACTCTTTTGATTTCTGAATGTATGTTCTGGAGTAGATTTGATATAGAATCGTCTCTTCTTTGAATAACTTTGATTTCTATTGAGTCTAATTTTTCTAAAAATGCCAATGTTGCGATTCTCAAGTCCTTGTCAGTGTTGCTTTGTATAAGCCACCCAACATCATAACTACCCTTCTTCAAATGCCAGTAGGACTTTGCTATCTCAGTTTTACCAATACCAGACATACCTATAAAAGGAAAGTAGCTATATATATGTTATGTAGCTGCTAAATGTCTATCACTGAGCAAAACCATCTTGGATTTCCAAGGTAAGATGTTTGCATACCTTGGAATATCAGGCTGAAATTTCTACCCAAACCCCTATTAATTTGTCATAGATTGAGAATTCTGATGAATGAAATATCATCTTATCCGGCCTACATTATGCCAATTCTTATGTATTAGGTAAAAAGAGGCTGAGCAGTCAACCTCCTTGGTCAATTAAGGGCCATTAACCATGGTTTAAAAGGATTCTGAACAATGAGATCCCATAGTAAAACAAACAAATCATTTGATTGTGCGCTAGATTTAACGTGCACCAATCAGATGATTTGTTTGTTTTACGGATAGACAAGTTGTCCACTGATAGGTCAGTGTAATTGAAAATCAAACTGGGAACAAGTATATATGGAGCAAGACTTCGCCCTTGAAGGATAGCTAGACGTATGACCTTTCAATAACGGACACTATTGGACTTGAAACGGCAACACTTCCTTCAATATCTTTAATATAAAATGGCTTTGTATAAAAACCTCCTACCTCATACCCACGTACCCACGCACGTTGGACATGGTACAGTCTTTGAAGGGTTCAATTTTAAAGATCTTAGTTTATTAAATCTTAGTTCATGGTGAATTATAGATGCATTTGTAATGACCCTTGATAGCAAGTTGCTACTACAGCCCAGCTGGGTTCGATTCCCACTCGGGGCATCGAATTTAGCACACTTTCTTTCAATTTCTTTATCTGGCTTGTTGGACCCATGATCGCGGTCGTTGGTTAGTTATCCCCCTGGGGCACCCTCGGGTCATTACACATTACAATGCACCCATATGCCTTTATTTATGGATCTGTCATCCGTCTAGTCATAAAATAAAGCCGGAATTGTAGAAATGTTAATAATTAGAGTTTTTTTTATACAAAGCCATATAAAATGTATATAAAATGGTAATTAAAGATTTGATTAAGTTGAGTGCATTGGGCCCATCCTACCCATATCTGCATTTTAAATCTTTTAAACATATTCAACATTTGATATGTCTTTTTTTCAAGGCATTATTTTAAGATATAATCCAAGCGAGCAACATAGCACTGAAAGACGTGGGGGCCAAGTGTTTGTGTTTTGAATCGTGTACTTCTTAAATTACCTGTCAGGATAACAAAATTGTGATTCTCCATATGGTCCAGGAAGCTTTTGAGATAAGCCGTTACTTTAAAATCAATAACCTTATTAGTGATGTTTGTTATTATCTGATCATCGGGATCTGCAAAGATAAACATATTGACATAATAACTTTTCCCAAAAGACAGGTTGGATAAATGTTTGATAAATGCATGTTATAAGAAAACTGGTTATCCAACTTCCTTTTTGAAAATCAATTAATAGTAGATACATGTATGGGTTATATTCATACCTACTGGAGAGATGCTGTCATTGGCAGCTCCATCAGCTATATTGATTTTGCCCATTGGTCCTACTATAACGTTAGTACAATCATGAACATGTATATCTACCGACGAGGTAGAAGGTGCTTTGTCAGCCGTATCAGATAGTTGTTTTGCTGGAGAAAGAAATGCAGGTCTGACTGACATTATGAATTACAATTTATGATACAAAATATTTTGTCCTTGATTCATAAATGTAGTCTTCTTATTATTTACATTGCAAGTAGAAGGACGTAAATACAGGGTGGCCAAAAAATGGGACACTCGTATTTCAAAAATAAATATTGACATTATTGATTAAAACATGTCATATTATATACCAGTGAATAAGGAATTTACTTATCTTTAATTTGGTATATCATAAGTGAAAATTTATTATAATGCCTGTGAACCAGCGTCCATAATACAAATGACGTCACTTTCGTTTCAAAACGCCTTTTCAAAAACTTGCAAATCCAGGAAAAAAGTTTTTTGTCAACATAAACAGATGTTCAATGTGTCCGTCATTCTGATCAATTATAGCCCTCAATCTTGGCATAAGCTTGTTGATATCATCATTGATATGCTTTTGAAATAATAAATTCCACTTCTCAACAATTCTGTCCTTATGAGACTTAATATATGTAATGGGTTCATGGACACCAACTCTGTTAGTTCTCCTCATACGCAGTAGTCGCAGAAGTTAGCTTCGGGTGATTTGGAGGGGGGCAGTTATTATGGGGATGAATCAATATGTCATGCACCGAGGACTTATTCCTGATCTCATAATCGGATCATTACATTTTACAACAAGATAGGGCTCCAATCCATAGATCCTTCAAGACAGTAAAATATATAAAGGAGAATGTGCCTCAATTAATACTCCCGAATCACTGCCCCCCCCCCCCAGATCACCTGATGCTAACATCTGCGCGACTACCATGGGGAGAACTAAGAAAATTAGTGTATCATGAACTCTTAACATCTATTCAGTCCCTAAAGGACAGAATTGTTGAGAAGTGGAATTCATTCTCTCAACGGCATATCAATGTTGCTATTGACCAGTTTAGGCCAAGATTGAGGGCTATTATTGATCAAAATGGATAACACACTGAACATCTGTTTCTGTTGACAATAAACTTGGTTTTTGCAAGTTTTTGAAAACCCGTTTTGGAACGAAAATGACATAATTTGCATTATGGACGCTGGTTGACATATATTATAATAAATTTGAACTTATGATATACCAAATTAAAGATAATTAAATTCATCCCCATTAATAAATTCAATGTTTATTCTTGAAATACGAGTGTCCCATTTTTTGGACCATCCTGCACATACATCGTAATAAGGCCCAGTAAAACCTTAAAATACTTGATGCCTATGTACATATTTGTATTACCATTGTATGTAGCATACCTTCCTGTTTTTGTTCAGCAGCGGCATATGACAAACGCGCATTAGCGTTCTCATTTTCTGATGAATGTTCATATGAACCAAGTGGCAGATTTGCAGGGATGTCTCCACATTGTCTATCACCATAGCCTCCTGGAGTTTCCATGAGAATCCGTATTCTGAAAGTCCAATTTAATTTAAAGACAATAGGTAAATTTAGGTAAAAACTACCGAAATATAATTCAAAATTTCTTCTCTGATCTCCTTTTTCAGAATCACAAATCTTTAAAACGTCTTCAACAACATAGTTGGGTAAGGAATATACACTTTCCTTTGACAAACGTTGCACGGAGTGAGGCTCTTTTCAACCAATCAGAAAAACCTGATTAGTTTATATATTAATTGTATTGAAATACAGGGTGGTCAAAAAAACGGCAACCCTATTTTTTTCTAATATCCTAGTCATTCTAATTTTACACATTTGTACATCATTCAATTTCCTACCAACCTACCATATTTCATGACCATCGGACTGATAGTCACAATATTACTGCATTTTCAACAACATGCCCCAGATGGCCACTTTCGGGCTGTCTGAGCTGGTCTGTTATTCAAATGAACTCCATTTCCAACTTGATGCACTCGTAAACTCTAACAATTATGTATTCTAGGGGATCCAAGCACTTGATGAAGTAGTGGAGAGGCACCTTCACACAGACAGGTGCACAGTTTAGTGTGTTCTCAGAAGATAGGGTTCTTTACCTTTGATGATATCAACGAATATGCAATAACTGTCAACATCAAACTCTATTTTGTGATCCCCATGGAGTTCTTGAGGACTTTATGTGAACCTAGGGGGGGGGGGGGGCTGATAGGCAGCAACAGTGGTTCCAACAAGACAAGAATCATACCCCATACACCCAATGATGCACAATAATGGCTTTGGGACCACTCCAATGACCACATTATCAGCAGTACAACAGACAATGATTGGGCACCCCATAGCCCAGATATGGCCCCATTTTATCTTTACCAGTGGGGTTACTCTAAAGATAGAGTGTAGGGTAATAACACCAGAAAGACATTTGACCTAAAAATAAAGATCACATGTGACGTTCAGGCCATACTTGCTGAGGAATGTAGTTATGTCATTGACAGGTTTGGAAAATGTGTGCAGGTTTGCCTACAGCACGATATTGGAAAACTGGGGTACCTTGTTTAAAGTGCTGTAACATTGCGACTGTCAGCCCAATGTTCATGAAATAATACGGTCTAGTATGAAATTGAATGATGTACATGTGTGCCAAATATCAGTGCAAAATTTCAAAAAATGACAAAGATATGAGGAAAAATTAGGGTTGCCGGTTTTTTTGACCACCCTGTACTAATAAAATATTAACAATATTCCGTTTATACGAATTTATCTTAGCAATAATCTATCTTAACAATAAAAACTATCCTATCACAAATTGAACTAATTTCTAACTTACTAGAATACAGTGTTGTTTTAAATAAACTTAAATTGTACTCAACAATTAGAGTAGGATTTGACGCTATAATAATGAATAAGTCCACCGAATCAGATCATATCTTTAGAAGATCTCACACTCGATGTAATGGTGCTTAAGTCTACAACGAATATTGAAGTTCCTATTAGGATCGGTTATAAGAATTTGCATACGCTAGAAGACTCCATTCCTATATCGGCAAACGAGATCACATACACTGGATGAAGGAACAATCACATCCATTAAGTTCCACATAGTATTTAGCGACACCAGCTCCACAATTATTGACCTTCCTGTATAAGGTCAAGCAGAGATCAGTCCAGGACCTAACCATATAAAGTCTATGAAAGGATAGGTATCGATATGGTGAACTGAATTCAATAATGTTTTTCTCTTAAAACAATTACTGTATTAAAAAAATTCTGTAAAAAACACGGTCCTTTATGTAATGTTGACTGATTGGCAACAATTTAATGCAAAAATAATTTATATAGTACTATATTTTATTAACTGTTTTAGTTAACATTTTTTGTTTTTTAGTGCAATTGTTTTTTGTTCCTTTTTACCAATTCTCCAATATTAAATAAATTCATATCTTTACAAAGCTTGTTGGAACAAAATTGCATATACAACATTTTCTTAGACCTCTGAATATTATAGTTATACAAAAAAAGTATTAAAGATTAAAACAAAAAAAACAACAAAATAGATAAAAATTAAGATAACCCTTTTATTTCATTCACAAGATACCTTTTTAAATCAACCAAACTTTCCTTTGTACAATTACAATATTGAGAGACATATACGTACACGTTGTGTTTATGACATTTTGTTCCAATGAGGTTCGGATAGATGTTTCATTTCATTCCGAACGTATGATACCAAGAACAAAAGAAGTGTCTGATGTGCTTTCTAAAACAATATAGAGAAAGGTATATATATATTTATTTCAAATTTTATTGTTTGCGTAATTAGAAAGTTAAAGGTCTTGCCAAGAGCATGCACAAGAAATTGAACATGATTTACTTAATCATATTCCTTAAATAAATCTTTTAAAACATACATCACAGTTTTTGCTTCTAATCGTTAATATATGACAACGCACATCTATAGTGTATACACGTATATTTTGTCACTCTGCGTTGTCGAAGGTTAGGCGTGATGAAACTGATAGAACAATTTTATCCTGAGTCAAATTCCAACAAGGAAGTTGAGGTGCAAAAAAGTCAAATGGTAAAGATATCAATTAAGTACTATTCACAGTTATACGGATACACTATCAACGAGGAAGTTTTATTTGGCTATTGAGTTACAATACTTACTCACAGCGAGTTTATAAGTATTTCTTGAAAAAAGACAGGAACGTTACTTTGCTTTTACATTACTGACTTATGTTTCGACTGAATATTATTAAGTCAGTATGTTCTAATGGACTGTAAGAATTTTAGAAATCTACACTGGCTTTGGGAAATGTTAGTTTGTTAGGCCAAAGATGACAAGATGATTCTGCTCTGCTCCCAAGTCACGCAAATGTGACACAAACATATCAGGGGTACATTTCCGAATGGTAAAATAATGTATATTGCATTGTTCTTTATGAAACTATGCTATACATTTTTCTGGATTGAAGCCTTGCTTGTTCTTCCGTATATGATATGATATGATATGAAAAATAAGTCAGTTGTATCCCGTATCGCCTTTCAAAGTCGTTCTAATACTTTCCTGAAAATGTTGCAATGGTAGTTAAGGATCAATGAAGAGGTTCAAATGTTTCATAAATTGTCAGGACTCAAACAAGCCATTGATTCGTGAAACGTTTCAGGGTGATATCATAATTATTAGTGTTAATAGCCTGGCGAGGCAGTAGCCGCCAAGGTTTGAAAGGAAAGGATGCGGAAGTGGGTTAATGTAGGCTTTATTTATTGGAATCGTTATAATGAAGTGTTTAATATGTAGTTGTATTGACTAAATAGCTTAATTTTTTCGTTAGACTAAATTTTTCCTCCTCGCCATTTTTTGATTCTGCCTATAATACGACTTCTTTGATATTTAGATCCCGTGCGCTATTCCAAGCAATAATATGGTATTAGTCTTAGTTAGTTATTGGTTAGTTAGTTTGTTCAGTAGACATGGTTGATGGGCCAATTTATGATGATTGATATTCAAAAATCTGTTGTTGTTGTACTAGAGACCACGACATATATGTTGATATCATGGACCTGCAAAGTGTTATTTTTGTTGACAAGATTTTAAGTAATCATTATTACAAGGTACTTATTTGGAATATTGTTTATCTTTTTAAAAATATCGCTTTAATGAATTTTTAGACAAATATTTTATTTTTCGGCAAATATACTCGAATTTCTTCACTTATAATGTATCGATTGCGTTGATATTTTTCAGCATGTTAATAAAGTGTATGTGCGGCCAGCTCTTGAAAGCGCTATGTTTGAGATGTCTTACACCCCAGTCACATTTCCTACGTCGACCGGGCGGTCTGTCATTTCTGCGGGCAGTAACATTTCTACGCTGGAATTTCTGAGGTCGGATACTTTTGCAGTCACATTTCTTACGGCAGCCGCACGGCGAGTTTTTGAATTTCTGTTGATTTAACGTTAATTCTTCTTTTTATTTTATCTACATCAGTACAATTTATAAATGGTGTTTGTAGTGTTAGGATATAGTATCGAATAAAAAATGCAAGTGAAATATAAGTTACTGTGGCATCAGATACCTTACATCAAACCGTATACGTATTGTGTTCTGTTTACAGCAAATATATGACCGAAAACTGACATAAAAAATGTTTCCAAAGGTACATTACCCATCAAACCCTACAGCAGACGCAAGTAAACGGCAAACCCGACGTGCTGCCACCGTTGGACCTTTCTGCGTTCTGGCAACAGCCTGTTGAATTCTATGGAGACCGCAGGAATGAACAAATATTATAACTCCGAGTGATAATTCTACGGCTACCCTGCGGCCTGTAAAAACTGGATACGCCGTACGGAGACCGCAAGGCGAGCGTATTTTTTCTCCGCTCGCCGCAGAAATTCGCTGCTTTAATTGATCTGCGGTCGTCGCACGGCCTCCGTACGACAAATGTGACAGTGGTGTTAGTCACATAATTGAGTATGCTTTACTATACGATTTGTACAATATTTGTATCCTCCAACACATTTACCATATCAATATACACAGGAAAGCTATGCCAAAAGGTGTATTTTAATAATATCTTAAATTGCAGACAATGGAGATATATGATTGAGTGTTGGTATTTCTGTTGTGAATTCAAGTTGTCTAGATAAGGCTTCCAATATTTTGTATCCTCCAAACATTAAAATATCATATTTGGGGAAATATGTTTTTAATTGAAGCGTTTAAATCATCGTTATTTATTTTTTGAATTATTTCAATTGTCTTTGTAAAACTTCATTAAGCATGTTGTGAATATGCTACTTACCACTATATCTATCGGTTATTGTCGCTATTGTCCTTTAGTTCTTCCGATTTCTCGATTTCCTCTCTCTGCTACTTACTATTACTATGTTTCATATATGACCACTTCTTGTCAACTGACTTTTCTGGGTAAAAACTGGCATGCCATCTGTCTTCAATCTACTGTTTTCGTTAGCATGCCATCTATATTTCAATTAACTTTTTATCTTACTATATCACACATGTGTAAAATATAAATGTACAATCAACAGTTACTTGTATTCATATTTCTATGTAAATATCTAAATAACGGCAAAGTATGAGTCAAGGAAACAAACTATTTCAATCTCAATTTCACATATGATCATGTTATAACTTTTTAGGAATAGCGATACATGTGACCTTTACATTTCTACTCCACATCCTGTCCTTTCTTTTTTTCAATGACCGACAGTACCTGAGACCATCATAAAATATGTCAGTCTCAGCCGACACATAACCATACAATTTACTTTTAATGATGTTTTTCATTCCCTCATTTCCCATGATGCGTGTTCTTTTCATATGTATTACATTTTGAATGCCGTTTGTCTATGTTGAGTTTTCATTTTGTTTCGGAATCTCAAATAATGACTCGTACTTACTCCTAACATATCTAGAGTCACTTGCAAGACGATGCAAGACAAGACATGAAAATGAAATTTTAAACACACCAGAACATTTCTACAAAAAATTGTTCCTGATAGTTTCAATACAACCAGTTAGGACCTGTGATCATTTACAATACATGCTCCAAGTAGCCACTATTGAGACCAACGCAATACTGGATTCATATGGCAAATTATTACAGATTCAGCCCTCGTTATGGCATTATTATGGTATTTAGCAGTGACTGCCTTCTTAAGGTCAGCATGTCTAACTTTTGAAAATGTAATTATTTAATTCTGGATCCCTTTTTCAATTCTTGTATTTTATGATTTGTATTGAATGCACAGCTCCCATTCACAACGTTCCTCAAAACGTTACTCATCGTCATCAACATCATCACTATCAAGTTTTGGAGAGTTGGAGGCCTTCTAGCCTACAGTGTTCTTTTTAATCTAATGTACTTCCATCTTGTAATACAGATGTCTGATTGTGCAACAACTATCATGTCTATCGTGGCCCATTTCCATTCGAGGGCTGAAAGAATAATTATGAAATTCATTTTAATCTCACCGTGGCTAAATAAACGCATGAACTGGCATATCTCATGGCACTGATTCAACATTTGTCCAAAAATCCAAATGATCAGTTACGTGGTCCCCATCCCCTGCTTTGACGGTATGGCGCCCGGGTTTTACCTGACAGCCTGAGATACGGTATAACGCAAATGTGTACCTTACCGTTACTGGGCGTTATACCGTATTGTCTAGGATTGTCAGTACAGACATTTACATATAAAAATATCTAGAAACTAGCTCGGATCTTTTTAAAAATATGAAAACTTCAGTTTTCTTAAATCATGAAATTTCATCACCATCGTGTTGTACCTTACCCCGCGCGTTCAACTGTCACGCTTAATTTAGTACAAAGAGAATAATACACATATTTATCAATTAATGTATTTATTTATTCATTTTATTGGAGGATTTTAACCTTGGCTGCGCCCGAAAAAATGAATTGGCAACTCCTCTATTTACAAACATTTATTTAGCATGGGCAAAACGTATGATGATACACTCCGTTAGAAGGTCAGGGGATAGGCTTCAGTGATTTATATGTCGCGTTAAATTTTTGAATATCTACATCATCATGCGGTTTCAACGATCAATAAAATATAAATCAGTTCATTACAATTGATATCTTGATCTTGATATGAAGTATACAATAACTGATAAATGATTATTATCCAAGGTATTATTTTCATTTTTCGAATTCATATATTCTTCAATGTTCAGGTGTCAGTCTCGACCAATCAAACCAAGGATTATCCTCGGTGGTATGACGGTATTGCCAACCTCCTCTTGAAAATTGGGTGAGGTATTAGTTAACACGCACTTTTGGATCGTGTTCAGCGACTGTAACACTCGACTCCCTTCTGAACCTATAAGGAAGCACGAAACGAAACAAACGATGTGTCAATTTTTTTATAATGGAAAATTAATATCAGTAACATCCTGAGTGACATACTGAAAGATAGAACTAGTATAATTTATAAAATGTAAGTTTAAGGCATACAAGTATTCAACCTAAAACTGAAGAGATGGGTGCCGTTTTGGCTCATTAAATAGTTACTTGTCAATACAACTGGATAAAAATAGTTAAACCTTTAAAACACAACTCCAAACGTTCATAAGGACATCATCATAAATGATACATGCATCTACTGAACCAAGACTGCACTTAGCAATTGCTTTAAGGATTACCGAAATACACCATTAAAAAATCAAAGTAAGTTAAACCTTCACAATATTTTTATTAGAAATTTTGTAATCATTATAAAAACTGTTAATATGTCGACGTGTACCATCCTTAACCTAGAAGTATATGATGAAAATGTTATGTAGTGTTCATGATTATATTTTCAAACATAAAATGAATAATTTTCCTTGAGTGCTGAGGCAACATATCATATATTAACAAAGCTGTATGACTGTCGTAAAAATATGTAAAATATTGTATATAATGTATATGACTATAATATCATAAACGAGTAATATATAAAGGCAATGTATGAGTCATATTATTATGATATGAACATAAGAATACGAGTATATAATACTGTACATTTGTTCCAGATCCCTATAAACACTATGAGGTCCATCATTTTGCTAATTATCGGCATAGGTAAGTCAGGGGTATGACATTTACTATTGTATTGTATATCTCTATTGCCCATAATAAAAGATAGAGATACAAATAATATATGCAGTAATGTAAAATAAATGATATAAAAATATCAGTACATATGATGGACCGCTACTGAACTATGATACAACATGTAAAGATGGATATGTTTAAATGTAAACAACATCGTGACAATGTTTTGAACACTACCCAGTATGTATGGCGGTATGCATGTGAAGCAAGCGAAAAATCAAACAACAAAACATTACTCCTGCCCCCCCCCCCCAGAAACCGAAAAATTAATATTACTTTAGGCTCGGTAAAACGAGAAAATAAAATACTTAATGAAAACACAGAATGAAGGTGGGCCAATGATAATGCACAAATTGAATTTTTCCATTATATAGGATCCGATAAGTATTGTTTTTACGGTCACTCTGGCTGAGAAATGAAGTATTTATTTAGTTACTATTGCATTAACAACATTTAAGTCAGATTTTAGTTTTAGATTTCCATTCATTTATGAACTACTAGATACAATATTCCATTATTTTCAGTACAATTCACAATAGGAGTACAAATAAACAAAGGAATCCTTCCTATCGTAGATGGAGGTTCAACATTCCCCTCGGGAGGTGAACGCTGTTTTATTCTAGGGGAAACTGACCCCACAGTGGTGTTAACAGCAGGAACTGTGATAGCGTTCGAAGCCTGGATCGGACTTATTGCCCCCTTGTCATTCCAAGTATGGAGACCCAGACCGGGAGAACATCATGAACTCATAGGACAAGTTAGAGTCCCAGATGATGTACTGAAGATTGGATATTTTAAAGTAAGGGGTTCTTTATCAACATCATTAATAAGGGTAGTTTCTCTGTGCACATCAGGCACCCGAACACATTTTCTTTCAAAGTCATTACATTGCTTCGAATCCTCTTATCACTGGTCCCAATCTTTTTATAAAGACGTTACGTTACGTCTTTATAACAAATTGATAAACCTCCTCGTTGGAGGAAATTTTTATTTTCATCAATTTCACCAAGAATAAGGACGATTTGTATCCAAATATTTTACCCGTATGCTAATAGTAATATCTTGTTACTGAAAATCTAGACAGTCACTAACAATTCATCAGCTCCAATAAACGAGTGAGAATTCCTCACTTCAGCAACCAGGACATGGTGAATTTCATAACGTCTTTGTTGCTTCATGTTATGGCCGATTAATGTCCTGGTTGCTGAAGTGAGGAGCCCTTGGATGTACATACTCGTGACCGATTCGCTATTCAATAACCAGATGCTACTAAAGCGTAAAATATTTTGATAAAAATCGACCTCCTTCTTGGTGAAAATGACTGAAATGCCTAAATGCCTCATATACAGGGCATTTAACTGCACTCCCTATTATCTTTCATTTCCTGTATTTTCCAGTTTATTCTCGATTCGACAGACTGGTTCCACATAGCAGATGGAGACATGCTAGGGTTTTACGCCCACACACTAGAAAATCCTGTATCCGCCACATTTAACATCAACTCAAAGATTAATCTTCTGGGAGCTGATGAACCATACACCGTTGGTGATATTGAGACATTTGATGATATTCAATATCCTTATTCATTCGCAATTGCAGTTACTTATTTAGAAAGTAAGTTTTAGTATTGTTCGATACAATGTATGTTGTATTAAATGAAATATTGATTGATTGGATGAATTTTACGTTAGTTTTCTGTAGTATGTGGTGGCAGATAACATCGTATCATTCAAAATTGTAAATATAAATGGTATAAGCAATGTATATGTCGGATAGTCGTTAAATCATTTCTTCTATGCAAAACCGTGGTGTCATATTTTACTCGTGTTTAACAACGTGGTCTACTTTCTAACGAATTGAGAACTTGTATAATTGATTCCCAGATGAATTTTTGGTTACCACTGGCACCCCAGAAATAAGCACTCAGGCGTCCACAACACAAGAGCCGACTACTCAAGAGTCCACTACACAAAGGCCCACTACACAAACGTCAACATCAACAACACAAGAGCCTATAACACAAGAGTCCACTACACAAGAGCCAACTACAGAGAAACTAACATCACAAGAGCCCACAACTACAATTATAAGCAAAGTGAAAAGAGGAATCCTTCCTATCGTAGATGGAGGTTCGACATTCTCCTCAGGAGGCGAGCATTGTTTCATTCTGGGGGAGACTGACCCCACGGTGGTGTTAACAGCAGGAACGGTGATAGCGTTCGAAGCCTGGATCGGACTTATTGCCCCCTTGTCATTCCAAGTATGGAGACCAATGCCGGGAGAACAGCATGAACTTATAGGACAGGTCCAAATCCCAGATGATGCACTAACGCTAGGATATTTCAATGTAAGAGTTCATAAAGATTTCAGACGGATTAGACATTTTTTCTTCAGAATATTGTTTTACAATTTTACCTTTAAACACACATGTTTTAACAATTATTTCACTCGACAGACACAGTTTGGTCGAGGGTGAGAGAAGTGAGATTTGACAAGAACTATAGAAAATATCACTTGCTATATGTGCTTTAAATAAATTAATCTATTGTGCGATTACTGCTTTAACAATAGAGAAATGTATTTGCACTAAATAGTAAATCCATCTTTGTATTTTCCAGTTTAATTTTAGAATCGACAGACTGGTTCCACATACCTTCTCATATAGAGGACATTTAACTGCAATCGCTATTATCTTTTCCAGTTTACTCTCGATTCGACAGACTGGTTCCACATAGCTGACGGAGACATGCTAGGGTTTTACGCACACACACTAGTAAATCCTGTATCCGCCACATTTAACATCAATTCGAAGGTGAAACTGCTTGGAGCTGATGAACCATACAATGTTGGTGATATTGAGACATTTGATGGTATTCGATATCCTTATTCCTTCGCAATTGCAGTTACTTATTTAGAAAGTAAGGTTTAGTACCTTCTACTCTCTCTAGCCGTAATGCTGCCTGTATAATACAGGGTGATCAAAAATGCCACCCACCTATTTTAGAATAATTCTCTCAATAATAAAGGGATATATAAGATATGTTCCATTTTCCGTGGAGGCATGTTCCGACGCAATACCACTCAAAAATCTAAATTAGAAAATCTTTCTTAAAGTCTTTCTTAAAATTTACCCAATGAGCCAGTCAGTTCATCAAATTTTGACAAGATTATTTAAGAACAAAGGATAGACATAACATATTATTGATAATACATATATGTGTGAAAGCAATCAAAAAATCATATAAAGACAGAAATCTAAATTTCAGAAAATTGTGTTTTTGAACATTTTTTGATGATTTCACTGAGAGCATGTCTGGAAGGAAAATGTGATGTCTCTAAATTTGAAAGTCGCAGATGCTGTCCAAGTACAACAATCTCTGTTCCATTGAACACTATATCTACACAAAAATCGCGTAGATTCCTTAATCATTGAGAGATTAATCCAAAATTAGTGGGTGGCATTTTTGGGTCACCCTGTGCATCTCTATGATATAATGTTATTGGCTAAACCAAATAACGTATTCCTTCAAGAAGTAAATACCGGAATATGCGTGGGTTGATGCGGCATAACAGATCAGTAATATTATGATAACAAAATTTGACAGAATCCAAACGTAGTAAGAAAGCATAAATCACTTAGATGGCTAGTTAATGTTCATTTCATTTCCAGATCAATTCTTGGTAACGACTGGTGCGCCAGAGCCCACTACATTAAATAATACAGCACAAGAGCCTACTACATTAAGGTCTACTTCTCCAGAGCCAACTACACAAAAGCCCATGACACAAGAGCCCACTACATTAAGGCCTACTACTAAAGAGCCAACTACAAAAGAGCTCACGACACAGGAACCGATAACACAAGAGCCCACCACACAAGGGTCCACAACTACAATTATAAGCCAAGTGAAGAGAGGAATCCTTCCTATCGTAGATGGGGATTCGACATTCCCCTCTGGAGGCGAGCGTTGTTATATTCTGGGGGAAACTGACCACACAGTGGTGTTAACAGCAGGAACTGTGATAGCGTTCGAAGCCTGGATCGGACTAATTGCTCCCTTGTCATTCCAAGTATGGAGACCACAGCCGGGAGAACAGCATGAACTTATAGGACAAGTCCGAGTCCCAGAAGATGTATTAACGCTAGGATATTTCAATGTAAGTGTTAATAAAGATTTCAGAGATTAGACATTTTTGCTTCAAAATCATGTTTTACAATTTTACCTTGAAACACACATGTTTAAACAATTATTTCACAGACACAGTTTGGTCGTGAAAAACTGTGAAAAACATCAATTGCTATATTGTGATTTTAATTAATTTATTGTGTGATTGGTCCTCTTACAATAGAGTAATTTATTTGCAATAATTTGTATATACATCTTTATATTTCCAGTTTATTCTCGATTCGGCAGACTGGTTCCACATAGCTGACGGAGACATGCTAGGGTTTTACGCACACACACTAGTAAATCCTGTATCCGCCATATTTAACATCAATTCAAAGGTGAAACTGCTTGGAGCTGATGAACCATACGATGTTGGTGATATTGAGACATTTGATGATATTCAATATCCTTATTCCTTCTCAATTGCAGTTACTTATTTGGAAAGTAAGGTTTAGCACCTTCTAGTTCCCCTAGTTGTCTCTCCTTATATCTGCATAATGTGATTGGGCAAGCAAAAATAGAATATTCCCTCTGTAGCAGATAGAAATATCAGAATAGGCCTGGGCTTGTGCAGCATAACAGATCAGTAGTAATTTGATAAGAAAAATGGACAGAATCCAACGGCAGTATGAAAGCACAAAACGATAAGAACAGTAAGCAGAATCCAACTGCAGTATGAAAGCACAAAACTATTTTGTCATTTTGCATTCGAATAGTAAGTAACTGTTCATTTAATTTCCAGGCCAATTTATGGTGACTCCTGGTACGCCAGGGCCCACAACACTTGAGTCAACTACACAAAATCCCACAACGCAAGAACCCACTTCATTAAGGTCTACTACTCAAGAGCCAACTACACAAGAGCTCACAACACAGGAGCCCACAACACAAAAGTCCACAACACAAGAGTCCACTATACAGGAGCAAACCACACAAGAGCCCACAACTACAATTATAAGCCAAGTGAAAAAAGGAATCCTACCAATTGTAGATGGGGGTTCGACATTCCCCTCGGGAGGTGAACATTGCTTTATTCTAGGGGAGACTGACCCCACAGTGGTGTTAACAGCAGGAACTGTGATAGCGTTCGAAGCCTGGATCGGACTAATTGCCCCTTTGTCATTCCAAGTATGGAGACCCAGGTCGGGAGAACAGCATGAACTTATAGGACAAGTTAGAGTCCCAGATGATGCGCTAAAGATTGGATATTTTAACGTAAGTGTCAATTAACGCTTTAGACGTTTTAAGGTTCGTGATATTAAAGAGGGTAAGTTAGCACCATTTAGAAGAACGTGTATGTGAAATGTATAAAATCATGCTCCCCATCAACTATTTTCACCTCTCGCTGGCCTTAATTTGCCCCATTAAGTGCAGGATTGACAATAAAACTTGTTTTTTGCAAGTTTTGGGAAACCCGTTTTGAAACGAAAACGACGTCATTTATATTATGGACGCTGGTTGACACACATTATAATAAATTAATAAATAATAAATAATATACCAATATTTTCTTTTGAAATATGAGTGTCCCATTTTTTGGACCATTCTGTATAAAGGTACGAGTGATATAGTTGTAATAATGTCTCCGTTTTAACAAATTTAGTGGAGGACAATTACACATTACCTGGGGCTCATAGTATAACGAATTTACGTAAGTAAGTTTTTGCAAATGAGTGTTACCTAACCTCTCTATTCACACCGGAATAGCCTGGCAACGGTAAAGTCAGATACCGTTGTCACAAATGGCGAACATTACCGTCGCTTCAACTCTTAAATCACTTGGTCCTCGTTTCATGGGACTTTATCGTCGCTAATTTTGTGCATGCATTAAACTCTTGTGATGATGTATCATATATGAAATCCTAATTTCGATCAAATTGGGTCATGAAGTCGCCACAATATAGCGTTCGATATCGTCAATGACAAAGGAATCTGAATTTTAAATAATTTACCATATGCCATTGTTTTTGTAAATTATCCCAAATTCAGATTCCACTATATTTAAGCGATCCACGGCCAATTTGATCGAAATTGGGATTTCACATGATACATTATCACAAGAGCTTAATACATCCTCAGAATTAGCGACGATTATATAAGTCCCACGAAACGAGGACCTAGTGATTGAAGAGTTGAAGCGACGGTTATGTTCGCCTTTTGTGACAACGGTATCTGACTTTACCGTTGCCAGGCTATTCCGGTGTGCTATTGATTAATTATGTAGTACAGCACATTTGATGTGAGGTTTGAAAAGAACCATGGAAGACATCAATCACTGGGTTAAACGTCAAACTCTACAATAGATCAGATTGCAAATTTGAGAATTAGGCAATAAAAATTAACTGCGCTGATAGTCAGGGGGAATAACCCAAGGGTTCAAAGAAGACATATGTCTGACATGTAAATATGTAGTGAGAAGACATATCGTCCTGATTAGTCAAATCGACAGACAAACAATGGCGGTTTCAAAATTTTCGAAACACGCTTCAAATAATATTATGCTAATTTTTGACGTTTTGATTAATATGATATCTTGTTATTTTGGATCAAGATAGACAACGGTGTAATAAATATGCTTACATTGATTAAAACATCACAACGCCGTGTTATTTTCGAAAACTAACTGGTGAGAAGTTGCGCAAACGGAGGTGGTACGCAAGAGACGTAATATTATATCTATTAACTCTTAAGCTCTGGGGCTTTCCCCCTCTTACTGATATTAAAGAAGCAAAGATTTTCATTGTTCCTTTAGCAGACATTATTTTCTTTGTCAGTGTAGTTCATTCTCCAGAGTAATTTCGGACATGCATTTTGTAAGTGTTTATTTCTCTTTGAGTTATTGTGATTGCTCCTTTTCATGACATTTTGCTATTTATTTCCACTGAGAAATATTTCATTTGTGAATTTTCCAGTTTACTCTCGATTCGGCAGACTGGTTCCACATAGCAGATGGAGACATGCTGGGGTTTTACGCCCACACACTAGTCAATCCTGTATCCGCCACATTTAACATAAATTCAAAGGTTAATCTGCTTGGAGCTGATACACCATACGCCGTTGGTGATATTGAGACATTTGATGATATTCAATATCCTTATTCCTTCGCAATTGCAGTTACTTATTTAGAAAGTAAGGTTTGGCACCTTCTTAGTACCTCCCTCTAGCTGTTCTGCCTTGTATAATATAAATCTGCATTATGTAGTATTCAGGTTCACAAAAAATGGCCATGGTGTAAATGTATGTCTTGCAAAGATAAAATACCTAAATTGTTTTCTTTTGTTTTAGTTGTCTTTATTTATCAATTTCATACACAATTTTACAAGAAGTATACTGTCAAGCGCCAATGGCATTAATGGCTAGCATTTATTAATATATCTAAGGATAAAATACCTAAATAGCGTTTCACCCTTTTTCCAGTGGGTATGACATAACATATACCGGCAAGTTATTATCAGCAGAAATTTGGACAGAATACAATCACAATATGAAAACACCAAACCCATTGTATTTTGATTCGAATGGTTAATTAATGCTCATCTTATTCCAGATCAATTTCTGGTAACTACTGGTGCACCGGACTCCACTACACAAGACCCCACCACACAAGGGTCCACAACAAAAGATCCAACAACACAAGAGCCCACTCCACAAGAGTCCACGACAGGTCCAGCCGGATCACAGGGTCCCGGAACACAAGGACCACCGGGGAAAGATGGACTAAAGGCAAGTTGATGATTTAATTTCACACTGACTACAAAACTTGACTTTTAAGTCTGTTCCCTTAGCTATATTAGTTAAATTAACTTCATTCTAGGTATTATTAAAAATTAATTTACAAATTCTGTAGCCTTTAATGAAGAAATTAGACTGGGAGTCATCTTCTGCGTCGTTTATCACAATAAGTATTCTGCACGGAACTTAACAAAGTCTTAGGTGACTACATGTAGATCACCGAGAGTGATGTTGGTGGTTTTAACTCTCCAGGGGGACCAGGGTGAAAAGGGTGATATGGGCAGTAAGGGAAATAAAGGAGATTTGGGAAACAAAGGAGAAATTGGACCATCGGGCCCTGCTGGCGTGAAAGGCGAACCAGGACCAGAATTCACAGGTAAATGTGTTTAAATTATAAAAATATCAACGACGTCTACATATCAAATGTTCATCGTAGATACAAGTACCCAATATTGAAGAAAAATCTAATATATCGACTCTATGGAAGTTAATTCATTAGGTGGAATCCCATATTTATGTAAATACTAATTTCCCATTGTAGATATTGATGAGTGTTCGGCTTCCTACGACGATGGATGTACGCAAGTGTGCATGAATACATTCGGTAGTTACAAGTGTGGTTGTGATCCTGGATACGCTCTCAGTAAAGATGACAATAACAATTGTACAGGTATTATTAGCATCACTGGTGGCGTTGTCCCAACCACGTCCTCTGTCACTTATAAATGCATTTTAATAGCATCTTGTTAACCAGGAATTCACCTGCCATTTGTTACAGACACCGACCACCGAACACCCTCCCCCCCCGAAAATTGGAGACTATTACGATATGTCACTCTTTGTGATTGTGACATACAAAACAAAATAATACTGATTTTTCCTTTACCATTGAAAATATCTTTGACATTGACCGACTTCAACATACTTGGCCTGAATGACCTCAAAGGTTATGTTAAGCGGGGCTAGTTTTTTTTTTGTATACAGTTAGCTTATGAATGGAATCATATGTACGATATACCAGACGGCTCTCCATGACACCTTAATTTCAATTCATGTCAAGCCTCTTTATTGCAGATATTGACGAGTGCTCTACAAACAATGGGATGTGTCAGATGACGTGTATAAACACTATTGGTAGCTACAGCTGCGAATGTCCTGCTGGACTTCAACTTAGTAAAGATGGACACACGTGTATAGGTAATATGGTTCACGAAAGATTGTCCTGCGTGACTTCAACTTAGTAAAGATGGACACACGTGTATAGGTAATATGGGTTACGAAAGATTGTCCTGCGGGACTTCAACTAAGAAATTCTCCATCTAAAATGTCACTCGACTTTTTTGTGATTATGAGTCAAAGAAAGCATTCTTGAGTTTCAAATTGACTTCTGTGGTAACTTGAAACCATCTTCTAATTTATTCCACTTACCTTTTATTGTTTCTCCAAATATATTCTTTGAAAATCGGATTTTAAGGGTGTTAATCAGGGTAATTCTGTGCCATTTTATCAAAAATCTTGTTGCTATCTAGAAACGAGCAATTGTGATCTTGTTGTTACCTAGGAACGAGCAACTATGATGTCACGTCACACTCATGTTAATTCTGGAATCACATGGCAGCCATTTTGGAAATTTCAAAAAAGTTCCCAATTAAAAAGACTAAATGCTGTTTACAAATTGGAAACTATGGCAGAATCAACAAAAGGTTTGTGAAATAATTAGGATATGGTTTCAAAATTATGCACATGACAATATATGACTACTAAATGCAGGCAGGGACTTTTAATTGCCAAAAAGTCGAGTGACATTTTAGATGGAGAAATTTTTAAGTAAAGATGGACACACGTGTATAGGTAGTATGGGTTACGAAAGATTGTCCTGCGGGACTTCAACTAAGTAAAGATGGACACACGTGTATAGGTAATATGGGTTACGAAAGATTGTCCTGCGGGACTTCAACTTAGTAAAGATGGACACAGGTGTATAGGTAATATGGGTTACGAAAGATTGTCCTGCGGGACTTCAACTTAGTAAAGATGGACACACGTGTATAGGTAATATGGGTTACGAAAGATTGTCCTGCGGGACTTCAACTTAGTAAAGATTTACACACGTGTATAGGTAATATGGGTTACGAAAGATTGTCCTGCGGGAGTTCAACTTAGTAAAGATGGACACGCGTGTATAGGTAATATGGGTTACGAAAGATTGTCCTGCGGGACTTCAACTTAGTAAAGATGGACGCACGTGTATAGGTAATATGGGTTACGAAAGATTGTCCTGCGGGACTTCAACTTAGTAAAGATGGACACGCGTGTATAGGTAATATGGGTTACGAAAGATTGTCCTGCGGGACTTCAACTTAGTAAAGATGGACGCACGTGTATAGGTAATATGGGTTACGAAAGATTGTCCTGCGGGACTTCAACTTAGTAAAGATTTACACACGTGTATAGGTAATATGGGTTACGAAAGATTGTCCTGCGGGACTTCAACTTAGTAAAGATTTACACACGTGTATAGGTAACACGAGGTTACTATCAATTAAGGTGGACAAGATGAGTTAGAAATTGGAGCTCTCTGTGCATGACAGTATATCAACAGCAAATAAGATTAACAATCGTGGAATTCCTAAAAATACATATTTTTGATAATTACACCCTGGTTCTCTTCATAATAGAGAGTTTAAACTTGCATATAAAATCGAAACGCCAACCGATACGTATGACCAATCGCTCGATACAAATTCATCGCTTAAATATTTTTCGTTCACCTTTAGGTTGGAAAAACATTGCAAGCTTAAACTCCCTATTATCTCTCAGATGTACTGGTGATGTGCTATATACTTAGTTACATTGTTTGGGGGTTTTCTTATAACATTGTTCATGGTATTCTTTTTCAAACAGACGCTCTTTATATTGCTTCATAAATATATCGTGAATGATTTACAATGTTAATGTGTTCTAATTTCCAGACAAAGCAGAGTGTGAAGTCAACAATGGTGGATGTGCAAGCGATGAGATATGTCTGGATGTCTATGGTAGAGCTTATTGTGTACTGTCCACTCAGTTGTCATCAAGTAAGTGTTTGGTTACTATGTACCTGTCAAGTGTTACCTGTCATGTGCTTTCATCGATTGATATATTTTGATAGAAGTGGGAGATAATAAAGGATACCTCAAAAATATTATGATTTCTCTTAAAGGACACTTCCAAAATCTAGTGATTTCTATTATTAAAGGACAACTTCAAAATATAATGATTTCTCTTTAAGCACACTTTCAAAATATAATGATTTCTGTTAAAGGACAACTCCAAAATATGATTTCTGTTAAAGGACAACTTCAAAACATAATGATTTCTTCTCAAGGACGCCTCCAAAATATGATTTCTGTTAAAGGACATCTCCAAAATATGATTTCTGTTAAAGGACAACTCCAAAATATGATTTCTTTTAAAGGACACATCCAAAGTATATTTACTCTTATCACTAAAATCATTTACAAAAGATCAATTTTTGAGAAATGAATCAGCTTAAACTAGATAAATTACATGAGGTAGACTATTTAAAATATTTTTGATTTGCATTTAACAAAGGCGCAGATTGCAGTGATCCACTCCAATGTGAACTAAAGCATTTGGGTCACCATGTTTGATGTCCAAATTTCTTCATGCAGAATATGATAACATTAATTAATATCCTCTTAAAAACAATCAGTTTGTTTATAATAAAATAAAAGACTATTTACTTTTTCACAAAATCTCAAATATTGTTGTATCTTATTATTGACATATTTCAGCTAATAAAGATGTGCCAAGATTGATGGATGATTTATTAAACAGAACAGTGATCATAGGCCTGATAATCTGGCTATGCATGCTGTCACTAATGGTGCTAATGATGATACCTTGTATGCTATCCATCGCAAGTACAGCCAAAGAAGCAGAAAATAACTTGATAATATTTAGATGACAGGATACATATTAACATGGACAAAGACAAAATGGACTATTTATTTATTTTTTGATATTTCTTAAAACCATGAAATCATTGTATTGTGGAAGCAAACAAAATCAGGCATCGAATCTACTTAAATACACTCTCCTTCACAAGTTTTGCAAGCAGACGTCTTCTTTTGGATAAAAAACCAAAGTAAGTTTACGTTCGACGATTATTGAATTGTCGTGCAATATCGAACTATTGTATTGTATTGTAGTGAAATTGTATCGTATTGTATCGTATTGTATTGCAATTGATGAACAAATTGAAAATTTTATATATTAGATATGATACCCAATGAAAACTAATAAGAGCCAAACTTATGGAGTGGTGTGTATAAATAAAATGTTAGCTTTATGATTAGTTTACCTCTCAAGATTTTTCATCGTGGCATACATTCATTGTGCTCATGCATTACTAGTTTGAAGCTAAATATTTACATCTTGGCCTATGCCACTTAAGATTACTTGGGTTTGGGAAACCTTTTGAACATCCTTCACATATATATGGTCTCACTCCAGTGTGAATGTTCAAATGATCACTCGTTAAGAATCCAACTTTATCTATTACATCCGGGCAATTAGGCCCCGAGTAAGGCTGGTAGCATAAAACCTTTGACATAACATGTATTACTATGGAAACACATTACACGACAATAAAACATGTGTGAATTAATATCATCACGATCGCAATGATGTTAGTCGAATGCAGCACTTCAATCAAAATGAAGCACATTGTTTTTTGGTTCAGGTCATTCCCTGGTCTGATTGTGATTTCAGGTTTTATCTGGATAAACCGAACATAAAATCCTTCCCTAAATGTACATTTACATTTTTAACCTCTATATGAGTCGTTTTTAACTGTACCGTTAATAAAATAACTATAAATTATTAAATAAAGATCATCATATATATTAGTATCTCTGTATTTTGGTCTATTTTCATTAGGTACTTTGAGACAATAAGGCATTGCAAAAGTGGCAGTCATAACTTAAACAGTAAAACTTCATGTTTTTTAAAATAAGACCCACTCTATTACTGCTGTTTCATGCTCAGTGGCCATTAGATGCATGACAAAGCGGATTGCGACGGTTATGTTCGCCATTTGTGACAACGGTATCTGACTTTACCGTTGTCAGGCTATTCCGGTGTGATATTGACTGACACAAACCAAAAGTCCAATTGTGAATTCACGACCATTAGTGATGAGATGAAATTATTCAATTAGAATCTTCTACACCCAGGCCCGTAGCCAGGATTTGCCAAGGGGGGGGGGGGTTCAGTTTTCAAAGATTTCCAGGGGGGGGGGGGGGGGGTTCACATTTGACAATTTTGGCCCAAATATGGCTGAAATCACTCGAGAAGTGCTCAAAATGGTGAAAAACTGCATGATTTTAAAAGAATTTTTGGCCAGGGGGGGGGTTCGCCCGAACCCTGCGAACCCCCCCCCCCTGGCTACGGGCCTGATACCTGACTTGCTTTCAAAATTATGTCTACATTAAGTTATTGAGTAGATAGATAATTATGTTATGTTAGAGGTTCAACCATGGACTTCAAATGGTTCGACTTAACATAACTTCTTGTTTAGATCTTATAAGCTACGTTGTACATGATACTGTACGACCCAGGCACAAAAACCAACGTTTCCTACTAGTCATGATGATCTCACTGGTGTCATTAAAAAGACCCAGGAGAAAGGTCTTAGAGTAGGTTTGAGAATAGAATATAACGGTTTTCCGCCCAGTAATAAGCGTCCTTACCTTGCAGAAATGTCTCAAATGGAAAATATCTTTTAGAATTCGCGGACATACTCTTCTTGAATTTCGATTCATTCTCCCACATACGATTTTCTGGGACATAAAAGTGCGAATTTCTCTTTAACATGTTTAACCGAGAGATGCTTGAATTAAATATTTGGTGAATCAAATCATCCCTACTCATTGATAGTATGGGACACTCTTCACAGAGATGTACAGGTAAAGTAACATTTATATTTCATTTCCTATGTCATTTGAAGAATGTAATCCTATTTTCTTTACTTTATTGCTATATTTACTGTTATTGAAACTTGTATATCGGATGTACGTTTGGCCCTAAGAGGGCATCAGTACTAATAAAATCCTATTATATAATCAAGGTGGGTATAGGTAACGCGGCGCAGTCAAGCATATCTGTTCAAAACGAGGCTGCAACGCGGTAAAGACACAAAATGGAGGCAACTCCAATTATCGGAGGCACTTCGTCCTCTGTTTCCTCGAAACATAGGTAAGTTTTTGAAAACTCATGCTTCACACTCGGTGATCAACCCCTCAAGGTATGTAAAGCTATAAGAATTTCTGTTCAGGCATTGACCAGAGTAAAGAAATAGTCAACGCAGATATGATTTCCTTTTACATCAGCTGCATTGCTGTCACTGCGTTTCCAGTTTTGTCAAATATGTATGATGTCTGAACCCGCGTTGCCGAAGTGTCTGAACTGCGTTTCCAAAATATACCTGGTTTTCTACCCAGAATCGGTTAACAGAAGGCAAACAGTGATGAAACTTTGAAGAAATAGAGATTACCGTGGTATATACGTGATTTAATAGATATGTGTCAAGTGACAAAGTCAAAAACATAGAATTTAAGCTAGAAAAATGCCACAATTGTCAAATTTCAGTAAGTGATTGACTTTGATTGACTTGGAATGTATTTCCCTGATTGACTAAATTTCAAAAAGCTTCACATAGACATACTCTGTGAAGTTCTCCACCGAATGGTATATGCTATTATAACTTTAGCAGACACAAACTAGTGTATGAAGCTTATGAATAAACTTACCGCCCTTTCAACCTAATAATAAAAGTCTAAAATTCTAAAAATATGTTAAAAGTGTACTTTCATTCTTCAAGTGCCGACAGAAATGCAACATGCGCCCACATGCGAAAACTGTCACGTGACAGACTATATATATACCCACCGTGAAGGATTGGCTCTTAACTACATCATGTACATTTCTCCATTAACAAAAAACTGATGCCCCGGTCATATTTGATCTATGCCAACCGTGTGGCAGCCTTAACTTCCCAAAATTGAGATAAATATGCAGCATAAAATATAGGGATAAGCATTACAATGTTCTATATTGATTTTTTGAAGCTACTGCTGCCGTAGCCGCCATTTGGGCATTTGCCTGAGACTTAATTCAGTTAATAAAGTATTAGAACTGTTACACTTTGGAAAATAGGCATGACACGAAATGTTGTAAACAAAAAATATTGTATAATTGTGGAATTTAACACATTGTTATACTTCAATTTTTTTTTTGTTTTGATGAAAATAACCATTGATAAGTGATAGGCAGAATCAGATCTTAGGGGTGACAAAATTGCAAGCAATATGTACAATTAACCAAGTACGAATGTTTTCACTTCAATCTCATAATATAATATCTTCCAGAAGATACTTGATATGTTATCAATCGGTGAAGCTATTTTAGATTTAAATTCTCCTAAATAAAAAGATAATGAATGATTATGGTAAACATCTTTAGTTTTCTTCAAATAATGTTTACGCATTGGGTATACACGCATGGTTTAAAGCAACAAAATCGAATGGCGAAAGACGCAGGTCAAGCGATTTTTTTCCTGAAATTTCCTGAATACTTTAAGCCATTATATAGACAAGACAAGGTATGATGTGAGCTCAAAATATGTTTAAAGGGGCAACAAGGACTGTAGAGAGAAAATTCGAATTTTTTATATTTTTTCTGAGCTATCCGGTCAATATTTGACTTAACATCTTCTCTGACATACATATGTTCTTAAAATGTATGGATAAACTATCAATTTCAGCATTAAGAAGTGTAAATTCAGTTCAAAGCTTCTATAAAGGGAGTCCCACTTATCGATTTTTAAGATCAACCAACCTGGTCAATGATCGTTGAATGGCCCTTGTTGCACCTTTAAATTGAATTTTTTTTGTTAATATTATGATGGTGATAACTTGCTGGATCTGATCCTGCTGAAGTGAAGGTGAGTGTACAATTTCTACATTTTATCAATAAAACAATATTAAAACAGCTTTTTTCAAATATGTATTCTCTATATTTGTTCAACAACATAAAAGTAATGTGAAGGGTGCAAAAATATTGATATCAAGACAATGTACATTTTGTACCATATCTATTAAACACCACTATGGCAGATCACTGTTTTGGGATATTTGGGATTTGTTTCCTTAAAAGCAGCTGTACTCTAAAATATTCATTTTCTGGGGCCTTAGATTTAGAAAATTTTTGGGAGAAAATGTATTAATGCAATACATATCGAAAATAGGGAACCAATCAAATATGTTTTTAGAAAGTAACAATGTGACGAATGTCTTCTTCATAATTCTCTATCTTATACATGTACATTTAAATACTGTCTTTCTGTTTCCAGATGTATCCACACCTCATAGAAACTCTATTTAAAGTAACAACCATTACAAAAGTACTTCACAATGACTTGCATTATGCTTACAATGTCCATCATATATTTCAACAATTTCAAGCCATAATTACCCATTTTAATATGAGTCAATTAGAAAATAAATAACAATTATTAAGAGCAATAAAAATTGTTGTAAATGCATATTTTATCCCTGATTGGACATTTTCGGAAGTAATTTTTATTCTAAAATAAATTTTAAATTTCAGTGCTTCGTTATGCATGGTTCATACCATAGGTTCTGAGCCGATATAAAGATGGAAGCACAAACAGAATCCAGTATTATCTCTGAGAATAATTAAAAATAAACACAGATCGATTACCATTCCATCTTTATTTAAAAATCATTTTTATCGACCTTAGCTTATGGTTCATACAAGAAGATATGCTTATAAAATAACCAGTTCCTGTTTAACTATTTCAAATGACACTGTCCTGTTTATTTAAATGTTTTAACTTATGTTGTCTTAAGTTGCCAGGGTTCTTGAATGCCTTGTTACATATATCACAAGCATATGGGGTTTCTCCAGTATGGATATTCATGTGATATTTATAATTCCGTAGCTCTCTGAATGCTTTCAGGCATAATTTACACTGGTATGGCTTTGTAGAGGTCTTCTTTGATCTCAGCTGTGCAGGGCTTGCAGTTTGTTCATAATTGTACTGTTGGTTGTAGGCTGATATGTCGAAGTCACTCTGTATATGGAACAGTGTGCTTTGCAATGGGTAAGCACCTGAAAAACCAAAAAGATCATAAGATTTTTTTAGCAAGTGTTTTATTTCATCTATCAATCATATTTATATAACATTCCAGGAAACAATGTCTGGTTGTTTATATCTGGTTTAATTGGTAAAATCAGCGCTATACAAACTTACAAAATGGGTAATCTGGTAATGTAGAAGATTATGAGGGACATGTGCACAAATGGTTGAAATTAAGAGTATGCTAGATTTTATTCTACAAGACATCTAGAGATCAGTCAGGCTATACAGTCAATGTATAGTTAACAAAGTATTAACATGCAAAATTTCACAACCTGCCATTTGTTATAGACACAAACCATCGAACACCAACCACAAAACACCAACCACCAAACACTGTCCACAAAAATGTTGACAAGTTGCAATGTTGTCCTTCTACTATTCTGAAATATACTGGCCTTATTTTTTTTGTGAACCATTATACTATTTGCATTAACATCTTGAATCCCAGGCTCTAAAATCTGTTGAAATCAGAGAATATTTCATTTTTGCCATCTTTTGAGATTTTACATACCAACACAACTTTAGATGCTCATCCTAGTAAAATTGGACGGCAGAGATCATTTCTACACATTTTAAAACAATTTTTGTGTAAATTGGTTGAAAATTCTTCAAATAAGAGCAATTTTAGTGAAAAAAATTGTGACCGATTTTCTCGTCACTGGGTTTCAAGATCATTTCTGAGATGACGAGAAATCTTGTCACTCCAGGTAGTCAAGAGGTTAACTCGATAAAATTATCATTGTATGAATTTATAGGTAATGCTCCATTCATTCATTCAATGTAGATGGTATGGCAAAATTCAGCCTGGGGTACAATAATTTCTTTCAAGTCAGACTCTGCTTGACAATATAGTGCGGTAAGGTTGGTAGAGGGCTAATAAGAGATTCAAAGGATTTAAGATTCTTAGTAAAAAAATAAAATTATTGACCAGTTACAATTGTATCTACCTTTTGATCTTGTATTCTGAAATATAATGGCCTTATATTCTTTTCTGTGAACCATCAAAGATTTACTGTAAGATGAAAATTTATTCTTTATGATTTTATTAGTAATGAACATACTTTACAAAAGTATACTAGTAGTTTATAAATGTTGTATTCTAGAATATAGTTTAACTACATAGAAAATATGTTTATACACAGAGGAAGTTTCCGCATAAAATAAACACCTGGTTAATTTTCAACATCAATAGACTTTGTTATGAATCTATCTATTATAAAAAGGATTGGGTATTAACTTCCTAGGTTGACAGTACTGTATACCTTGCTTGCTCATTAAGAAAAGCGACATTGATCTTTTGCTTTCCTATTTCTTCAAATGTTTTAACTTGTGTTGTTTTAGATTCGCAGGGTTCTTGAATCCTTTGTTACATATATCACATGCAAATGGTGTTTCTCCTGTATGAATATTCATGTGATAACTATAGTGTTGTGAAGTCTGGAAAAACTTCAGGCAAACTTTACACTGGTGCTTGTATGGCTTTTTGGAGGTCCTCCTTGGAAGTCCCAAATGAGTATTTTGTCGATTCTGGATCCATACTGGCGAATCTCTGTCCAAATGTTGCAATGTTTTGCTCAAGAAGCCAACAACTGGAAAAAACAAGCACAGGCTGTTAGAAGGAATTAACATGAGAAAATGTCACAACCTGGTAAGTTGATGCAAATGGTCAGATGTTTACAATAGTGTAACAAATTATTTCAGCTGCCAAACACGAACTCCCAACTGATGCATACTGGTGAAAAAAACATTGGCGTACAAATTCTTTTTGGTAGGCCTAGTGACAAAAAAACAGAAAAAATATCATGAACGTTGGTACACATTAGAGTGCAAAAGTATTCAAAGACAGCACATCAGTCCATTTATTTGTCAACAAAGCAAGTCGAAAAAGTGGAAAGAATAAACATGATAAACAAATCTGCAATGCCTAATAATCTATCACAATCTTTCACCCTAGAATTTTATATCATGCCTGGTGTTAATATTGAACCTCTTAAACAGATAATTTTATAATTTCATATCTCAAGACATTACATCACCCAATGTCATATCTGTATTTAAAATTGAATGATAATAACCATACGTAACTCATAACACATTTTCTGAGTATGTCTACAGTATACAGGACTTACAGGTATAGGCCTGTATCTTAATATTGTACGAATCTTCCAATGACAAGTCAGATACAAGTCATTAACTTGCCAAAGGTCACCACCCGCCACTTGATACAAATGATGACCACCAACACTGTTACCCCCCTATCACACCAAACTAGTTCTTACCCGTTCTTGCCAGTCCTACGAAAAAGTCGTAAAACGGGCTCAATCTGGCTGTGGTCGGGAAATATGTCTAAAATAATTAGCTACTTCGTTCATAAACAGTGCTCAATAAGTCAATCTCATTCGCAGTTCGTTCAGGTCGCACCAGGTCGGTGTGCAACGTCGTATAACGCGTCCCCTAGTCTAGAAGGTCATCATGACCTGATTACAGAACGGTATGGTCGCCATCGAATTTTGAATCGATCCAAAATTCTAAAATCACCTTCCAGTTTGAGAACGTTCATGAAGTTCGTAAACAGACCTTAGAAAGTTGCAGCTACGTTCATTCCGTTCGCACACAGTTTAAAACCAGTTTTGAAGAACGCAGTGGCAACTTGTTTGGTGTGATAGCTATATTTTTGCTAACTTAACTAATATTTTTTGTAACATATACTAGCATGCATTGTGTTCTCACCTCCTATGGTTTAGATCCATTATCTATACCCTCATTTTTGTGTTTCAATTTATGTCTTCTTAGATTACCAGGATTTTTGAAGCCTTCATTGCATATACTACACACGAATGGTCTTTCTCCAGTATGGATATTCATGTGGTATCTATAGTTCTGTAATGAAGGGAACACTTTAAGACATAAGTGACACTGCTGGGGGTTCCTTTTGTTAGGCTGTGATGTTTTTGGTTGAATGTTTTGCATTTTGTTAGCATTTTGTAGTTTTGGAGCACCCGGTAAGATTGTATTGGTTAGGTTCCATACATACTGATCACTCTGTAAATTCTGCAATGTGTCTTGTATTGTATCTTGCTGGGAGGCCAAACCTGTAATAAACAAAACACAAATGAAAAACTCGATTTTTATACCTTTCTAATAGAGATCAATGTAAACCTTTTTTGTCCTTATGGGTAAAATACATTAAGCAATCATTAAAGTTATGGGGGTAGCTTGCTAGAATACAGAAAATGTATATTTCCGAAAAAATATAGATAAATAATAACCCAAAAAATTAATAAATAACTGACATCATGCCGAAAGTCCTTTTAGTATTATCCTATTCTGCCTTATTTCCCTCACCTATTTTAAGTTTGCCTTAACTTATGTCTTGATCATGGGTACACCTCTTGACAGTTGAGCTCATTAATGTCAATTTAACCATGTTAACTCCTCTCTTAGTTTGGCAACTGAATGTCCATTTTTGATCACTTATTGAAACCTGTTCTATGCCATTAAAAAATTAAGTCTTAAATTTTGAAGCTATAAATGTAATTCAGGAACAAAAAATTAAAATTCAAACCTTGACAGACTTTGATATGCTATATCCAATGAAACATCAGATTACCAAATTTATTGAGGGGAGTGTACCATTTTAAAGAGAGGGAGAATAGAAAAGTAGAGTCATGCAGTATTATATATCAGTCAACATTGAGGTGAGAACAGAAAAATATCATTCCAGTAACTGTATTCATATTCATGGAGGTTTTGGGTTCGCGGGGATTTAAAGAACATACAAGATCAAATATAGGATTTATATGTATCACTGGAAATATGATTCTCCCTTCATTGTAGGGCAGGTATACACTGGCGGATCTGGGGGGGGGGTACCCCCACTTGGGTGGGCCCAGAAAAAGAAATTGGCCCCAATGCCCCAATAAATGGGCCCTTTTGGCATTACTGGGCCTTTTGAGGCTTATTTTATAATTTTAGGCCAAATTTTGAAGAAAATGGGCCTTAAATTTTCAAACATTGGACCCACTTTTTGCTTTTAGGGGCCAAAATCTTTTCTTTTTCTTTTTAAATTTCCCCCCCCCCCCCTTGTTGGTTCCCAGATTCACCGCTAGGTATATACCATTAATAATCCATTTGGTTTACTTAAAAAGGTATCTGACATTCTTAATCCTCCTCATTCTGCCAAAAATGTTCTGACATTCTTAATCCTCCTCATTCTGCCAGTCTCAGGTACAAAGGTTTGGCAAATAAGTTTTAAAGACTTGTTCCTACTGCTAGTAATTAATTGTTTTTCAACTGACATTCTTAATCTTACTTATCAAGTTTGAAACAAACAGCAAGGGGTATAAATTAGTGGTAGCATCACATGTCCATCTCTACAGGAGGTTAATCCAATTTTTTGAATGATAATCTTATGAAATCCTAATTTGCTGATTATCTAATTAATTTGCTAATTATCTACTTAATTAGTGGTTGCATCATGTGTTGACCTCTACAGGAGGTTAATCCAATTTGTTGAATGGTAATCCATTGAAAAACCTAATTTACTAATTATCACGTTATTACCTGTTTTCATACCCAGATATCACTGTATGAGGTTAATTCTGTATCAGTATTGAAATTTATGGAAATTGACTGTACCACTTAGCAGGTTGATTTTTCAATATGGGTTGTTCACTGTTCAAGTTTGGAGGTGTTCCACCGACAGAGATTTAATTAACATTAAGTCAATGGGTTTTTAAAACGGGACTTTGAAAAAGCATTCCACTTGCGAGATGTTCCACTTACGGAGGTGTTCCACTTAGCAGGTTCTACTGTATGTATGTATGTATGTATGTATATATTTATTGCCCTTTATATAAATGAGATACATGTATACAAATTATGTAAATGTTAAATTGAAAATAATCACTATTTACAAACAAACAATGCTGTATTTTGACTGACGACGACGCCTAGCTACCGCGTAGACGCACGCCGACCCTGACCTCAAAGGCTCTCAATTAAGTGCCATTATCCTTTAGTTAAGATGATAGAGAGCTTTCGATATAAGTTATTTGGAATATGTATTCGCAAACCTGTAATTGTACAAGTCAGGTATAGCACGTGGGAGGAACTCAAATCACAACAAAATATTCGGCAAGTATGTAATTCGTGAGTTCTGGTTTCAAAATATGATTACAACTAAGAAATTACTTCTGCCATTGCTGGGATATTCACAAATCAATTCCCTCGATTATAAAATGAGGAAAATGTTTCTAATGAAATGTACTTTCCTGATTTCTTTAAGAAACTTTCCTCCCAGTGATGTTTACGTCATGTAAAAGTTGCAGTATAAGTTTGACTGAAAACTTATATGGAATGCTCTCTATCGTTTGTTTGTCCATTCTCTGATCATTGTAGACACTCTACTTGTCTAGAATTAAATTAATTTGTGAATGATTCCAGTCATGATCTCATTGCATTATATATACGCATATATAGTCACTGTGGATAACTCCATTGGGAAGTCAGTTTTGACTAAATAATTTAGTCATTGATGATTACATTGGTATTGATAATTATTTCTATTGCCTAGATACCCTTAAGAAAAAACCCATGGTCTCCATGATCTGTAATTACCGGTTTTCCATGGTAAATACCGGTATTTCATGGTAAATACCTGTATTTCATGGTAAAAAATCATGAACTTTTCCATGGTAATTACTGGTGTTTCATGATAAAAAAACATGGAATTTTCTATGGTATTTACCATGAAATACTGGTTTTCCTTGATATTAGAAAATGAAATATTCCCATCAAGTGAGTCAAGGGTAATGTTTAATATTGATGTATCAATCATTTTGAAGGAATTTTAATTGTGAAAACTTGGTATTTAAAGTTGCAAACATATACCAAGTTTTCAATATTTTCTCAATATTTGAAGATCAATAAAATAAACACAACACAGATGATAAATGGCTCTAAAAAAGTGAAGGTAAATATGCATTATTATTTAAAGAGAGAATCTGATAAAGGGAGCAGGCAAAACAAAAATTGTATAATTTCAGTAAATATTGGCTCATTCTTTTTCAGCTTACATGTCAACTTTCTGACAATCCCAAAAGTGCATGCATGTACTTAATTTCAAGAAAAACCTTTCAAATTTTGCAATGAGCGCAGTTCTAATAGCAGAGTTTAGCATAGCATTTTCAGGTTAATGAAGTTTAATATTCTTCATGGTATTTCCCATTGCGATCGGGAAACACATCGTTTGGTGGGATAATTATACTTCAGGGTTTTTCAATTGAGTGTTTCTTTTATGCCAACATCAACATTTCATAGTATTTATAGACAATTTACAGCAAACATGGATGGAGTAGACAATATTTTATAATAAATTATGACCAAAATGACGCTAGAATAAAAGTTTTAGGTAGTAATTTTGTCTTTGATATTATAACTTCAATAATTCAAAAACATAGTTTGTTAAAGTATTTAAACCATTGACTGGTAAATTAGATTAAATATTCTTTGATATTTTCACTTCCTACAATTTTCAATTTTATATTTGTATAAGTTCTTAGACCATTGATTATGGAGATTGATAACATGTTCTTTTATGCCAACATCAACATTTCATAGTATTTATAGACAATTAACTGCACACGTGACATGGATGGAGAAGACAATATTTTATAAAAATGATGAAAAGCCTTGTATCATCACCAAAATATACACCCATGCAGTTTTCAGAAATCATGAGCCTGTTTACATTTCTTAAACAAACATTTTTCAGAATAGTGCAATCGAACTCCATGATTTTGGGAATTTTGTAATCAAGTTCCATGATTTTGGAAGTTGTAATCAGAATTCCATGGTTTTGTGTTTTAATGTTTTGTAGCAATTTTATTTTTAGAAAAAAGAAAATCATATAAAGTGAAGTTATATCAAAAATTATTTCAATTTTATACAATTGCCATATCTTAAAAAACACATTTTAAATTAAGCAAATAGGTTTTATCTAACAACTGGCCTTAAACTGAACATGGAGAAAACACAAGCAATGTGGCTTGGTCAGAAAAAACACTCAATTGAAAAACCCTGTAGTATAATTTAGAAGCTGGGAGGAGATGCTAGAATAAAAGTTCTAGGTAGTAATTTTGTCTTTGATATTATTACCCTCCGCATAGAGTCTAGTTATAAACTACCCTCTGCCTATCATAGACTATATTACAGTTTAGCAGCCCAGCCCCAAAGATTGATGCCTGTGACAGCCCGAGTAATAAATCATTTCAAATCTACCACACTGACCCTTTCTCATCCAATCAGCGAAGTGGAAGGAACTCGTGCTAAATACGTGCTCATTATCTATGCGGTGATATCAGAGGAAATGACCATATAGAAAGTCATCCATATTTCAACGACAAACTCTGATTGGCTCGAGAGATTTATTGTAAACTGAAAGAGTGAAGATGAAGCTCTCTTTCAGAAGTGCAGTCGAACGAATGCAAAGGGTATGATATTATATAACTTCAACAATTCAAAAACTTAGTTTTTTTTATTTATTCATTTAACACAATTATACGATACATTTACTACATTCAATATAACATTTCAATACATTCAAAACAACAAATCAATATATCTGCTAAATCCAAAAAACACTGTTACCCACCATGTACTTATGATTTATCAGGTAATACTATTGTAGTTTAAAATCTAAATACATTTTCTTAATTAAAAATTTCTAGACATCTTTTTAACCATATTTTCCGTTTAATACTAAAAATTTCACTATTAATCTCTATCATGTTTTCTAATGAGCTATCTTCTCTAAAGTAAAAAAGCATTTTATCTCTTTCAATTAAATTAGTAATTTCTACATTGTCCCATTCATTTTTGAATTTATATTCTAAAAAAGGTGTTCTTGTGATTCCTCAACATTTTTACAAACTTTAACATTCCATCAGATAATTTTTGTTTTTTTAATCTTCTTTCAATTTCTATTGCACCATTTATTACTTTATATATGAATTCATTTACCTTATGATTTACATTTGTCTTAAATAGTACTCTATACATTAACTTAAATGGGATCTCACCATATTGATTTTTCCAATGGGCTTCTGATTTATTTGTCACCCCTCTTCTACTAACAATTTTCTTTCTTATATTACATGTTTTTATTTTCCCTAAAAAACTTATTTTTTCATTCCTATAGATTTTATTTGGATATTTTATCAAAGCTGCTCTTACTTGTACATATTGCATATAAACATCTGGGCCTCTGCCTAATTTATTAATTATTCCATTATATGTTAAACATTAACCTTCTATTATAAAATCAGACACATAATTAATCCCCCCTCTAATCCATTTTTTGTCATAAAGAACTCTTTTTTGAAAAGTTATGTCCAGATGCCACTCGCTCATTTTGGGTATGATGTTTTCCTGCTAAATTATCAATGTTCTCTAGTGTACAATTAAAATCACCAGCTAATATGACATTCTCTGTATCGGGACATTTTTCTTTTATGATATTTTGCACCTTTTCAAAGAAAGTACATTTATCATTTGATTCATTGGGTGCATATACATTAAAACAATACATCTTGGTTTCCTCACACATAAAAGATATTCCCAGAATCCTCTCCTCTGAGTGAATAATTTTTAACTTGTCATGGTCAAATTTTTTTGACAAAAGTATAATTTCCCCCTTACTGTGATTTGTACCACTAACATATATAACTTGTCCTTTATATTCATTTTCCCATAGATGGCTTATCTCTCTTGTTATATATGATGCTTGAATAAAACCTATATCAATACAGTGTTTAATCAGAAATTTAAAAAATGTGTACCTTTTAATTTTTGACCTCAGGCCTCTAACATTTGCGCCTATTACATTGGCCATATTTATTTAATTTTTTGGGGTGTAATGTTTCTAACACACTCTATTTACACTATGTACATTTTAACAGTTTTATTTTTGAACATACCCAATGGACCTCAAATTCACATAAAGTGACCACTAGGAGCTGAACACAATGGAGCTCAATTTGCTGGTCTACAAAAATAAATGCAATATGTGTTTCTGGTGTATATATAAGTTTTTGGTGAAAAACACAATGGTAGGTCTAAAAATAGTACCATGGGTACTGCACTCACATGAGGTTTAAATATTTTAAATATTTACATTCTTTAAATTTATGTAACATATAGAAGCTTTGAAACTTGGTTGATATGTAGTATATTTTATGTACCTTATTTTGAAGTCTTAAGAGCACTGATATTAAATAATAATAACATTGATAACTTGAAAAAGCACAAAAGTTCACATTTTATGTCGCTTATTTTGAAGCTATAGCGCACTTTTCATTGAACACATAAATGAAGGCAGTTGAAAATTGGTTGATATCAGAAATATTTTATGTTAAGCTTATTTAGATTTTCGAAGCCTTAATGAGAGTGTCTGATCAGGAGCCTTCATCTGACCGTATGTATGTGTCTGACCAGGAGCCTGCGTATGACCAGGACTCTGCATCTGACCATGAACATGCATCATGGCTTAAAGTTCTTCAGGAATTTCTGGAAAAATGGATCAAAATCTGACCCCATTGAGTTCAATACAAATCTGGATTTATATTAGGAGGGGGGGGGGGTGGGGGTAAGAGGTCAAGTAAGGGTTTCAAAATTTAGGTCATATTTGTTTATTTTTTTCCTAAGAAAATACGTTTTCCTCCAAATTTGAAAGTATATGCAATAGGTCTACATTACTCTCAAAAGCACTCGATCAAATCTCACCAGGAACCTACATATTTAAGGACAGGGTGCATGTTCGGAATTTTGCTGCATTCCTCAGTTGAGTCACATGTTATTGTTCAAATAGGGATAACTCCTTCCCCACATTGTCTACCTCTTTCATTTTTGCATAAAGAATGCACTTATGTGCCTAGAAAAGACTGGTGAGAAGAGTTTTATCATAAAATGTATAAAAAACGAGAAAATTAAGAAAAATTTCAGAAAATTTTCTCACTGAATTTTCCCTTTTATACATTTTACAAAACAAATCTTCTCACCAGTCTTTTCAAGGCACATAAGTGCAAAAGTCTAGCATAGCAATCAGAAGCTTTTGTCTGCATTAACCTACAATTCCCTGACATTTCCAGATCCCCCAAAAATCAATTTCCATGCATTATGCCGTTCAGAATTGCCTTGATTTTTTGTTTACCCGATGGCTGACCCTTCTTCGGTTTTGACATCTGAAGTGTCTGTTGCAACCAATCTTGCGGGACAGCAATGTTTCCATTCAGCAAAAGTTTAAACGAAAAAATCAGTCCATTGTTAGCATTAAAATCCGTGACGTCACGATATATTAATCCGCCTTGATTATTTGTTTACCCAATGGCTGACCCTTCTTCGGTTTTGACATCTGAAGTGTCTGTTGCAACCAATCTTGCGGGACAGCAATGTTTCAATTCAGCAAAAGTTTAAACGAAAAAATCAGTTTCTCTGCAAGAGGCCATTCAGAATTGCCTTGAATATTTGTTTACCCAATGGCTGACCCTTCTTCGGTTTTGACATCTGAAGTGTCTGTTGCAACCAATCTTGGGGGACAGCAATGTTTCCATTAACCTAAAATCAGTTCGAGTACTGATTTTAAATTGTTAACTTGTAGAAGCACAACAATGTTCATATTTTATGCAGCTTATTTTGAAGTCTTTGAACAGTAGCCCTTGCTGTAGCACACTTTTCATTGAACGCCTCAGTGAAGGTAGTTGGAGAAGACTTGAGTACCTGAGCTGTGTATCCTGCAACATAACCAAAATACATTATCATTTGATATGTTTTATATAAGCTGTACTAGTAAGGAAGTAGTATTTTTGTATAATCACCGAGATGAATCAAAACTGACATAATTTATTAGTAGTTCATTAAAAACTTACCTGCCAAATCTTGGTAGACTGGCTTCATTAGAGGGTTCGCCATGACCGCAGCTCTTCCCCCCTTAAGGCAAAGCTGGTGAGGTTCGAAGAGGCCATTCAGAATTGCCTTGATTATTTGTTTACCCGATGGCTGACCCTTCTTCGGTTTTGACATCTGAAGTGTCTGTTGCAACCAATCTTGGGGGACAGCAATGTTTCCATTCGGCAAAAGTTTAACATGGCCCTCAGGAGCTTTGTCTCCATTAACCTAAATCAGAGAATACAGTAAATATGCAATTCCAGATATTAAAAAATTCAACAAAGCGAAATGATGTCAGTCACCTCTTCTGAGTCACATTACTATTCAAATCAGCTTCAGTCAGAATGCCTCTATGATGAAGGGAATTGCATCTGCATATGGAGGTGAAAAGTTTGAGTTAGTGCCTAACATATTTAACTACAAATTCGATTACTTGAAGCAATGTATTTTATATTTTAATTACTTCATTTTTCATGGTACAAATCAATGTATAGCAGGGCTAACTTTTCACTGAATTCAAATATGATATTTAAAAGATGGAAAAGAGGTACAATATGCAAATCAGCATACAACATTTTTCAACCAGTTTTTGAGTTATAAGCTGGACAAACAAATCAATGGATGAACAGACGAATGGATGGACGACTTCTCTATATCCCTCTATGACTTCGTTTGGTGGGATAATAAGACTGACTTGAATCTTACCAATATATACTTTACTAGTGGCTTGTAGGGCCTTGTTCTGGGCCTGTAGACCCTGTCCTGGTGGCATTCTGAACTTTTCTTTGTGAATAGTTCTAGTTGCTTCTTTAGCTCTAAATAATCATATTTTACAAATATTAGGAGAGTACATGTACATGTATAACTGTATAAAGTGGTCCACCTTACTGTACGCCCGGTATTATTCACGAGTTTTAATTTCGCGAATTTTGAGAAATACCAATTTTGCGGCCATTAAATTTCGCGGATTTCAAAGGTTTCAATTCCATTATTCTCTGAATCCTCAAGCTCTGTAAACTAATTTATAGTAATTACACCTACCCAATGTCATATTTGGATAAGATTTACAATTTCTAGATCTTAGTCAACAGCATGTTGCACCTCAGCCTTTAATTGGCGAAATTCGCGACGATTAATTTTCGCGATTTTAACACAGTCGCGAAAAGCGCGAAACTAAATCACACGCAAAAAAATACCGGGGGTACAGTATTAGATCCTTGTATGTAAGTGTTTATTAATATGTTTATTGGACTGAAGAAGATAGTAATCAATATTTTAATTGAATGTGTATTTATTACTGACTTAATTTCCGGAATGGGTAACACATGGCTATAGAGCGACATCTATGTATAAAAAAAATCAAACTAAATCACAATCAAATATGATGTAGGCCAATCTTACACAACTGTGGATATATGAGGTAACTGGTTGATCTAATTTCTACTGTATTAGCTCAATTATATGGTCAAGCATATATTTGACAATGTCATATTCATACCTTCATTTACCTGCCTCAGTTTCTTTATCTCATCTGCATCATTGTTTATTTTGTTGTTGGCAAGGCATGCTGATGCAAGAGGTTGATATTGTTCTGGGCTAGCATCTGGAACATATATTGATTTTAGAAAGTTAATAAAATTTCATAATTTGTTGATCATTCCTATTAGATGTAAACGAAAATATAGGCCCATAACTTTTATAAAAATAAATTACAGTAGGACCCCAAAGATATATGTATAAATAAAGCAACTCTATCTAATTTTGGAAAACCTTAGCCAAATTTATGATTTGGCTTTGCTGTTGTATATGTCTAGTTTTAAATGTTAATTTTGAAGATTAATAATTAATAACCAAAAGTACCTTTATGTCAGTTTGGCCTGCTTTATTTATGGTTAATGAACTCCCATACAAATTGAGAAAGCTTTGTGAGAACATGCTACTTGGAGCCCTCTGGTATGGACAGTCCAAGCCCCTAATGATAAACTTTTGGGATCCTGTTCACAAAGCTCTAGAAGAACTAGAAAATGGCGTTAAGCTTGAGGCTGGTAACCAAGAGATCATAAACCATACGTTCCTCCTTTTCTTCTCAGCTGATTTGCCAGCTCGGCATGGAAGCCTGAATATGCTCCAATACAATGCAGAAACTTCATGTACTAAATGCTTGCAACCTGGGAGAAATTTTCGAACTGAGAAAGGTGGGAATATTCGATATTTCCCATTTGTTGAAGAACACCCAAACACACTGATGATGGAATAAAGCAAGATTCAAAGTTGGCATTTGATACTGGGGCTTCACAAAATGGTATAAAAGGTCCGTGTTTCTTCCAGTGCATGGCTTATTTCGACATGGTTCATGGTGTTTGCATTGACTACATGCATATGGTAAGGGATCTCACCATCAAATTTTTATCGCACTTTCAAAAACTGCTATAGCCTACTGTCGTTGACTTGTTGTCTCGTGCTGATTGGCAAGTGTGTGGGCATACCACTTGAATTTTAACAGATGCAAAAGCAAACTAGTGCCAATATCCGATTAGTTTTAGGGCATGCTGGCTATATTACTTAGTGAACATTCTTAATTTTCAAAAAATCTTGTCATCAAAATTCCCAAAAAAAGTATCCAGTAAACTTGAAGTTACAGATGCAAGAGCAGATTAGTGCCAAGATCTAAATTACATGGTGGCCATTACAGCATTTTGAATTCTTTGATAAATCTGCCATTTTGAATTTTTCAATTTGCTTCAAAATGTCCAGATTTATTTGTTGAGAAAAAGCCGCCATTTTTTTATGTGTTATTTAACACTTTTACTCAGAAAGTAATGAGCCTTTTGTTGGAATTTTTACATGTGCATACCTAGAAGCATATTACACTCTCTCTTGTGTGACAATTTGGCCAGAGAGTGGCCACTTCAAAATATGGTGGCCATTTTCATGTGTGTTATTTTACTATTTTTGCTTTGATTGAAATAGAAGTTGAGGCATTTTTAAAAATGGCTGTTTTATGGAATTTGCTATGCCTTGGCGCTGCTGTTGTCTAGTTTTAACAGTAACAATACCAGTTGCAAATAGACTTGCCTAATAGATAACCTTATAATACCTTGGGCATGCTTGGGAATTGCAAGGCAGTATTAATCTATGGTTTCAACCAGCACATCGAAAAGAACCATTTTCTTTAACAACTCAAATAGATACTGTTGACAAGCGGATATCAGAGATTAAACCACCCCATCAAATTAGCCGTCTGCCTAGGAAAATAAATGACATGAAACACATGAAAGCATCTGAGCTTCGTTCTTGGGTCCTGTATTACTCAGTCCCTGTGTTATCTGGATTGTTGTTGCCCCAATATATGTACCACTGGGGAGCATTTGTTGAGGGGATCCACTTATTGTTGTCTGCAAGTATTAGCAAAGAAGACCTTGATGAAGCACAAGATGTCTCGGGTATTTTGTGTACTGCACACCAGTATTATATGGCGAGAGGTACATGACCATGAACACGCATCTACTTCTACATTTATCTGAAGCTGTAGAACAGGTAACACTTTATAAAAACTTCAGTCTTTTCTTTATAATTATACTGGAGTTTCTCGCGAGTAGGCCCATGCGCGTTTATTTGAAAGAGGGGTGTATAAAAAAGCTTTTTCCCTCTTTATAAAGGCCCATGGGCGTTAGCCGTTAATTAAAAATTCTTTCAAATAAACGCCCACTCGGAGAAAAGGATTGAAATTGCTCAAAACAGTAAAATGTCAGTGGGTGAAAACATTCGAAAAAAGGATTCAAAGAATTGGGGTAAACTTGACATGATGTAGCAAAAATATGACAAAAGGTCATTGGTCAGCATTCTTTCCCGCCTTCATGATACTAGTGCGTGAGTATGAAGTGCCAACTTTACAATCAATAATATCCCTCGAAATAAACGCCCAATGGCTTGGGAGAAATGTTTTCCCCTCTTTTTAACGGCCCATTGGCGTTTATTAAAAATTCTTTCAAATGAACGCCCTGTGCAAAATAAACACCCGTGGTTTAATTTTTATTGGTTATCGGGGGAGGGGGGGGGGGGTATCCCCTGGCTACACCCATGATAGTACATGTGTTTGACTTGTTTTCATTTTTCCAGTATGTAGCAATTTTTTGCCACTATGTATCAACAATTATTTCTATGTAGCTATTGTCAATCTCACCAGTATGGATAAGATTTCTTACTCTCACCAAGTGTAGCTATTATATAATGACTTTTGGTCAGTGGTAACACTTCCCCTAAGGAATTTACTAAAATTAGTTGTTAGTATAACCATTTAGTATTAATCTCACTTAAGTATAAAGATTTTGTTGGTTGTCAATTCAATCAAACTTATATCATTGTGACCATCAGATTATTATCTATTTCATTAAATCAATAAGGTTTTCATTCAAAAGCATGACATTTTTATTTCAAACTTTTAAATGACAATAATATATTCCATAAATAAAAATATTCCAAAAATAAAATCTACATTTTGTACACCATCTTTGTTGTAACACGTTATGAATCCTGTTCAAGTCCTAAAATCTCCAGTGTGAAATGTCCATGCTACACAGTATACAAGTCTAGGTGCTTGGTCCTTCTATGTCTACTCAATGTTCCAGTGTTTGAGAACCTCAGATCACATCCTGGGCATTTATGTGGCTTCTCGCCAGTATGTACTGTCAAAAGCATGACATTTTTATTTCAAACTTTTAAGTGACAATAATATATTTCCATAAAAAAACTAAAATCTACATTTTGTACACCATCTTTGTTGTAACACGTTATGAATCCTGTTCAAGTCCTAAAATATCCAGTGTGAAATGTCCATATGCTACACAGTATACAAGTCTGGGTGCTTGGTCCTTCGATGTCTACTCAATGTTCCAGTGTTTGAGAACCTCAGATCACATCCCGGGCATTTATGTGGCTTCTCGCCAGTATGTACTGTCATATGTCGCACCAGGGACTGTTTTGTGAGTACACGTTTCAAACACAAGGTACACTGCAAATGTTTGCTCTTGTCTGTCTGAATTTGATTTCCTTGATTAAATACCACACTGGGTTGGTATGTTGGTATTCCACTTGGTTCATTCTGAGGGGTCATGCCCATAAAAGGATTGGAGAAGTCTTGTGGTATGTGATATCTGAACTCTGGAAATATAAAATAATTGTATAGATTTAGAATAAAGCTGATTTATTGTGAAAATGTGTTAGAGGTTGAAAGTCTTCCACTTAAAAAATTAGGATTTTGTTAATATTGTTTGAAATCAACTTCTCTCCATTATGATTTCAACACCTACAGTACATTGATTTTACCTTAATTGTGTAGGTACTCCACAAATGTGAAGATCATCAACAAGTCTTGGTTGTAAATCAAACCAGTTATGTCTAGTGATTTACATCAGTGTTATAGTATAGTCAAAGAGCAGGAGAATGTCATAGGAGTATAGTCATGTAGTAGGTGTATAGTCATGTAGTAGGAGTATAGCCATGAGTTTAGTCATGTAGTAAGAGTAGTCTTAGTGTAGTCATGGAGGGGAGCACATGCCCAGTAGTCAGACAGTAATCTTTCGAAATCTTATTCTCTATTCATGAAGGTAAAATTGTAGGGTGATACACCTCACGATTGAACTTAAGTACATCCTATGATTAAACTTCTAACATTTATTTACTTAACACAAAAATACAAGTCATTACACTTAAACATATTCTAAAGCTGGTGATGAACACATCATTTCTACATAGTCCCAAAAAACACTCTTTTATCCCTTGTTTCAGACAGTTCAGTATATGTTTTTTATTATTTTCACCAGTTTGCGTCCACAAGTATAAACTGCAGAGATCAATATTGAACACTTCATTTGCACCAGTATGTAATATTCAAATTGGATTCTTCTGAACACATGGATTTAAGATTTGCCATGGAACATTCTAATGCGATACAACTGACTGGCAGGCTTTCAAAAATCCAGTAGCACACTTTAGAATTCTAGGATTTTCCAGTGTACATAGTGGAATGAAGTTTCTTTGGACCACATGACATTAACGTTTCCCATGGAATTTCCTCATATGTGGTACAACACTAGCAGGAGCTGCAAAACCCATACCGCATATGTTACATGTATAGGGCCTCTCTCCGGTATGGAGGTTAAGATGACGTTGTAATATCTGCTTTGTTCCAAACCTTTTCAGGCATACTTTACAGACAAAAGGTTTTGATTTTTCGCTTCGACTTCGTTTATTCATGTATTCTGCCATCATGTTTGTTGCAATTGAGTTCTGTTGCCGTGGTGATCGAGAATTATAGACTGAAAGCAGAAGTATCCACTATAAAATAAACATTGAATAGTGTACAGTTTCACAAATGCAACATTAAAACGCTGAAAATGCATATAAAATATCTGAAGCCAAGTAAGGCTTGTAAAACAACTTAATATAAGGACCAGGGTGTGACAGTATATAATATCAGCTTTAAAGCCTACATGTAAAAGGTCTAAGTTAAATGCTACTTTAGGAAATAATGCAAATAAAACACTCAAACATAGCAGTCCCAAAATAATAGCCAGTTAACCCAAAATACACTTTGTTGCACTTCACTAAATATCTTATTTATTTTGCTTTATTGCATTGTAGCACTTTTATTACATAGACACTACAATATGGGCCCTCACTTAACATAATATGTCATACCGGACCGGACACTTGTTATGCCAACAACAGAAGTGGTGACATATTGTATAGCCTCCTATTTTTGTCGATGGTGTTTGGCAGTGAACAGTCAGTCTGCGTTCAGGGTTTGGTGACTTTACAAATTCATTCAACTGCCAATAACTGGTGGTGACATTTTGTCATGTTAATGCCTTGTCTTAACGATATCTAATACCAAACAAAACAACTGTTCTCCAACTAAACCATGAATGGTGATACATTTTTTGTTCATCAGGGTATTGCTATTAGTTCTTGTTAAGTCAAGTCAAGTAAGACAAATGGGTAAGCCTCCATACATGTATGATTTGATGGCAGTCAGAAAAAATGTTGAAATAATTTTAGTCATTTTATCCTCCAGACAACTGAACATGAAGTTTGATGGTTAATAATCAAAAGCCTCATATATTTCAGTCAAATATACTTTGGTAAATTGAACATTATCAACAACACAAAACACAGATATAAACGGTATATCATTGTTTCATCATAATGGCGTTGAATATGTATAAATCTACACTAAAGTACTTTCCAGCATCACAAGTGATTAAATAATCCAAATTGTTTCTCTGTTTTCCACTACAAATGTCTACAAACTGGCGAAAGGTATATTAACTTATAAATCAAGGTCACTGTTCTACATCTAATATATACCAATTTGTTTTATTCAATACTCTTTCATATCTACTTTTCAATAATGTTTTAAACATTAAATCACCCTGGTGTTTTGGCTATGTGTCTATTCCTTTTTATGATGTTTATTCTGATGATAGATCAGATTGCTTGGAGCGCAATAAGCAGCGGGGCACATGTCACATTTATATGGCCGTTCTCCAGTGTGGATATTCATGTGACGTTTTAGGATTTGGCGTGTAGAAAATTTCTTCAGACACAATTCACACAAGAATGTTTTTCCCGCTTGTTGACCTCTATTTGGACCCCTCTTAGCCTTGGAAAGATTGGTTACCAGGGTGATGTCTTCAGGCGTCAGTTGCCATGGTGATGCTGTTGACATGTCCATTGCTGAAAGAACAAACAGCCATGTTGATTTTCTTTCTTTAGTTCTCTACTAAGAGGGTCCTGTTAGAGGATTTGGGGTACAATACCAAATGCTAAGGAACACTACATAGTTTCCTGGTATAATTCACTTTTTGGGTTTATTGGGTATGACCCCAAGTGTTTTGATCACAAATTAAGGTTTCTGGTTTTAAACATCCTCTTGTGGAGGTCCCTTCAAAGTTTCTGGGTGCATTTTCTTCTTGTGTCTTATGACACTAACTGGTGCATTGAAGCGCTCTCCACATAACTGACAGCTATACGGGAGCTCTCCAGTATGGATATACATATGTCGGGTTAAGATCTGCTTCGTGGAATAGGTTTTCAAGCAAATCTTGCAGGAGTATCTTTTTATACCCTGTGAGGGAGTCAATGACATGGGACCTCCTATGGGACTGCTTATGGGACCACCAACAGGATGCATCTGTTGCCAAAATGACATTTGGTCTGAAAATATAAACAATTTATTTTACTTCTATTTATTCTAGTATTGAAACATAGGTCTGAGGCCAATTTAAAGATGGCAGGAGGGCTTGAGCAAGCTATTGGTAGCACTTTTAGTCCCATAGAAGTGGATTTTCAAACTTGCTAGAAGAAAACATTTTCCTGAATCATAATTTTACTTAATGTCTTACCTTTCATTTTTTATTGACCCAGAGATAACTTTTTGCATCGATATTGAAAAAATCAGGATGATATTACAAGCCCCAACCTTTGGCTCTTCGGAAAGGACACACACATAATTGCAATTATAAAGGGTATATATAAGTTTCAATATATGTTCCACATTTTTTGTTTTAAAGCATGCACATATATGGTTCTAAATAACTAATAGTTTTTATCTGAATCATTATCATAGAAATGAATTAGGAAGACCAATCTGGTCACTTGGCCCGTGATTTCGGCAAAAAAGTTCAATCATTTTTCCAATTACGATAATACTTCATAATGTTGAATATCCTGTTGATTTTTCCTTCTGTCTGAATCATTACAAAGTCCTTAATAATGTTTGATTATATATGAGACAATCATGATAGTATATATGTGTACCATATGACGAAACTACACTTGTCCAAAGCTCTTCGGAAAGGACATTTTTTAGTGTATTGCTAAATACTGTTTAACAGATTGAATTTGAGGGAGCAGTTTTCGGAGATTGTACATTTGTTTCTATTTATGTATTCATGTTTTTGAGATTTACCACTGATTACATCATTAACTGTGATTTTTCATAGGTAAATATATGGGCGATAATAGGGCAAAACATCATTAAAGTCATCACTTTAAGGCTATCATGAATGTACTTGTAGTTTTTTAGTTGCTGGGCTGGGGACATGTAGGCCTATGAAACAGCATTATGCACAGAAACGACTCAATTGTTGGTGGTAATTGACAGTGAATTGAACCTATTATCACAGGAAAAATAGAGATGAAGATACAATTTTATATTTGCGGCATTCTTCATTTGCAATTTTACACTTGAGTGTTTAAAGGGTTTTACAGTACTGTTCAAATCAAGATTCAATGTAATATTTGTAAACATTGTGCTAATGCCAATATACATCAGTAGAAAAGTTAGTTATAGACATCCAATACAGCATTCCTAATCAGAGACTGAATTGCTCTTCGGAAAGGACACATTTACTTTTGTAGTTCCTGTTTAAGTCTTAGTTACTTCAGTAAAGATATTTTATGTATAAAAAATCATCAGAAAATATATTCCAGCGTGTTTCTCTTCAATATTGTTGGTAAATGCACTGTTTTGACAGAGTTTGTCTTTTCCGAAGAGCTCTTCGGAAAGGACTTTTTTCTTGTGTCGGAATTTTAAAATTGATTTTACAGGTATATATGACAGTTCAAAGCTATTTATTTGTTTTGAATATTCAAGAAACTAAATGCATTTTGTTTTAAAATGGTTTTTAGGGTATCATATTACTTCAGTCTTAAAATACACATGCTCTTCGGAAAAGACATTTGCGTGTCGGAAAATCAGTTAGTTATTTTGAGAGCCAATATCTCAGGAACCACTACAGCCTTTTCTATAATTTTTTTAGTGACAGAATTTTAACATTCCGTACTTTTGATATCATCTTAAAAAAACTGTAAGCAAAGATTGGAAAATATGTTAAAAAATTCAGTCTTTTTTAACATAAAATTTATAATGAAATGTTACACCAACGGTTGTGTGCTACAAGCGGTTATAAAAACTCTCAATCATTTTAAAGCAAATTCCTTAATCTTTCCAATGCAGCCAAATTACTTTAACTTACTCTATTCAAGTACATGTTTGAAGTATATATGTAAATGTGGATTTTTTCTTGGGAATTTGTTACATAGAGAATAAGGCATATTTTGATACATGAAAATTTATAAAAAAATTATCATTCATCTTTCAAAAAAATGATATCTTCCTCAGACATATAGTGGGTATACCTAATTAATAAGACTGATTTCCCATCTGTATCTTAAGCCTTGCATTTTTTCTGGGTGCCAATATGAAAGTGCTACCAATAGCTTGCTCAAGCCCAGGAGTGATAGAATTTTATTGCATGATAAGGAGGATTAATTGGCTCCCAGAATGCAATCTTGACATTTTCTAACAATGAAAATATCCAACGTCATTATTGTCTGACAATAAACTGGCTATAAAATCATAATCAGTAGTAACATAGCTAATATCTTGATCACTTCTTGCATATTTTGAAATTGCTTGAAATGACCAAAATCTGAAGTGAAAAATGGCAGACTGTTAAATTTTGAATTTTGTAATCACGACATCATTCACAATCGGGCATATTTTAAAAGTTTGTTTAATACCCAGAGCTTAGTATGTGTACAAGAGGAGGAAAAACCCCAGAGCTAAGGAGATGACAGACATAATTATGTTATGTCTCTTGCTTACAACCTTCGTTTGTTCAAATTTTCACCAGCTAGTTTCCGAATACCACACGTGGTATTTAATTAATGTTACCATATTCCTTAAACATTTCTTTATCTTGATGTGAAATAACAAGCTATGCTGTTAGTGAATACACCAGATATTAACATCATATTATTTGAATGTTTTTAGAGAATTTTGAAACCACCATTGAATGATGTCACTAGATGTCACAGGAGCTGCTATTGGGCCCTGGAAATTCACTGTAATCATTTTATCTGACTGTTTTAGTATTCTATTCAATTTGTGTTGAAATGGCATCTATCATTTCCTTCAACAGACTAGATGAGCGTAGAAATATTCTTTGATTTTCATCATAAATAGGCTACTAAAAATTACACCTAGAAATGTGGTTTTAAAGTGTTCATCAACTTTGAAAATTTAATTTTCCTTAAAAGTGTGACTTCTTTGTTGGGGAGACCCCATAGACCCCATGTTATAACATCACAAAAATTGAAATATTTTTTTCTAAAATTGGACAGATAATATTTTGTTTTATTGGACATATTTCCATTTGTAGGCCTATTTAACTATCAGAGAGGTAATAGTAATATGCAAATTGATCCACTAGAACTGATGAATATTCAAGTTAAGGGAACTTTCTAGTATCTGCCATGTTATCTGACCCAAATTAGCCACCTGGTGGTGAAACTGGTAACTACCTACTGGCATCTGGGTTATTCAATTCAAGAGGCATCAAAATATCACTATAAACTATTTAAACTCATGGACGTAACACATACAGTATTTCTATATTCCATATCATCAGCTCATTTACATTTTATTCCTAATAACTTTAATAAAAAATAATCTATATTACTAAAATGAACACTAACTGGTGACCTCAGACATTTCACATGAACATTTCTTAAAATTCTCCAAATCATTATGTCAATTCCATACCTTCAGGTCAGTTTCATATAATAGTATCAGTCAAGTTATCTTAAACTTCTATAAAGTTAGACATACTCTTTTGATATAATACTCATAATGTTATGTAAATATGATGCATAATACGCATATGTTGTTAAACTCATATGATGTATAATACTCATATAATGTTACACTCATATGATGTATAATACTCATATAATGTAATACTAATATGATGTATAATACTCATATAATGTTATACTAATATGATGTATAATACTCATATAATGTTATACTAATATGATGTATAATACTCATATAATGTTATACTAATATGATGTATAATACTCATACTCATATGCTGTTATACTCCTGTGATGTTATTATTCCAATGTGTGCTCAGAAGTGTGTTTTCGCTTATGTGAAGATAAAGACCCTGGATTTGCAAAGCTTATTCCACACATATTACACTGGAACGGCTTATTTCCAGTGTGTATATTCATATGCCGACTCAACACTTGATTTGTCGTGAATGTCTTCAAACATATCTGGCACTGAATTTTCTCCTTATTAATGGTGTATTTGTCACTTCTTTTCTTTCCTACTTTGTCTCCATTCTCCAAATTCGAAGAAGATTGAGTTCCTGTAAGCCTCCCTGTGACATGAGGTTGTCTAAACTCTGTATTGGAGAATGATTTGCTTTCATTCTCCAAATGTAGAGAAGGTTGTGGGGGTGGCCCTGTTAGCCTAAACTCTGTGTTGGAGAATGATTTGCCATTGGAGCTATGGGGCTGGAGCCAGAGAGGAAAATTGACTGGAATCAAGAAAATATTTGGTGTTAGTTACTACGTGTTGGCTAATGTTAAAAATATCTACAGTACAGATAGTATGCACAACTAAGCCACATGTGCATTCGGGCGTCTTGCATATAAATAAGGAAATGATAATATTTATAAAATACAAGATCGACAACATCAACTCACAAACCCCAGCTGCGATTCAGGGGCTAGGGTCCTGCACCCCAATTTTAAAGGAATTAGGTCAATATATTTCAACCAGCTGCGTTTCAGGGGCTAGGGTCCTGCACCCCAATTTTAAAGGAATTAGTCCAATATATTTCAATGTTCTTCCTAAACATAATGAATTAGAATTCAAAGTGACAAACCATTCTTCCAAAAAATGTAATTTTACATTTATAGATTTTATAAATAAAATGTAATGTTTCCTTTTAGAAAGTCTAGTGGACTTTTACCTTTTGCCCCAAAGTATTTAATATGTAGGGGTGCACATATATCTATTGACAGAGTCCCAGATAACAGGAAAATAACAGACCTGAAAGTCTCAATGGAGAATTGTTTATGAAAGAAAATGTAAACTTGGTATATTATAATGAAACCTGAAAATCTCATGGGAGAATCGTTTATGAAAGAAAATGTAAACTTGGTATATTATAATAAAATAAGAATCCAATGTGAGGATATTTTGTTCAATCATAATTGATCAGACTGGCCACTTTCTATTTCAATTTAACTAATTCATTAACACCATTTGATACTTTCAAATACCTATATAATTATCTACTTTTTCTGTCTATATCAATTAAGACAATACAGCTATTTTCTTTCCATTTAGGTTTATTGATTAATTTTTCTATTTGAATCACAAGGTAGGCTGAGCTGGATTTCAAACATAAACTTTATCCCTGAATCATGTGCTTATATGTCTAAAAGTATCCCACTCATCCCACCTTAAATCTAATACACAACTAGCACATAGTGTTACCTATGATTACTTTTTGTACAATTTGACTGAACAATCTACATGAACTAATGATCTATAAGAGACAATATCTCCATTCTCATATGGTTAATGGTTTTAACTGGGAAACTATATGTCCATTCTCATATGGTTAATGGTTTTAACTGGGAAACTATATGTCCATTCTCATATGGTTAATGGTTTTAACTGGGAAACTATATGTCCATCCTCATATGGTTAATGGTTTTAACTGGGAAACTATTCATGTGTTTTACTATGATATTTCTTCTTATGCCAGCTAAGGTTTCCAGGGGCGGCATATGCTTGGGTACACATATTACATTTATAGGGTCTCTCTCCAGTATGTATGTTCATATGGTGTTCCAGATTCTGCTTTTGGGCAAACTGTTTCAAACACATTGGACATTTTATCTCATCCTGAACAGAGAAAGTTTCTTTTTTAATTCGTTTATTTTTGTGAAGCCATTGAATGCCCTTTGTTCGAGTCTGGCTTGATTGTTGGGCACCTCCAGAGATTGCTGATAAGTTATAGTTCTGGTATTGTCGAAGAAGCTCTGACACTCCATCTGCAAATTAAATGTGAGATATTATATAGTTGTTATAAAAATTACATGAAAAGGTACCACATTCTGATCTTATATCAATCATTCCAAGAAAATAGAATGTGATCCTTAAGCAAACACAATTTTACAAAAATCCATGCTTTCAACACTGCATCAAAAATCAATGCATATGATTCAACATTTTTTTGTGTTTATTTGTTTCAATCAATCACCATTACAAAATGTGGCTCTGCTGCTGTGTCCAGCTTGAAAATATGCAAAACTTGAAGGATTGATGAAGTTACTGAAAAATATATTTATTAAAGTATCTCAGGTCTTTTATGAAGGATTTCTAACTATGTCTCAGTTCAGTGCAGTTCAACCTGCAGTCCCAATACCAACTGACTTAATGTCAAATGAACCACTATAAGTCAAACACCTCCCAAATGGAACACTTTTAAAGGTACCAAAGGAGTTCCACTTAGACAGGTTTTACTGTATATGTAATTTTATTTCAAACTCACACTTATGAAACGTATGTTTTTCAAGCATATGGCTGTCTGGATGCTGCAAATGATTGTGACATATTATTTCAAATGATTGTGACATATTATTTCAAATAATTGTGGCATATCATTTCAAACGATTGTGACATATTATTTTAAATGATTGTGACATATTATTTAAGAAAGCTACAATTATCTATACTTGTTTTTTCTGTTTTCATTATGACATTAAAAGTGACCAAACAGAAATTTTTAACTATAGAAAGATTTATTCTTTATTTTATATGTTGATAAAACAGAGATTACTTTACAATACTTGTGCTGGTGACATCACAATGAACAAAACACAAATGTATTGAAGAATTAGATTTAAATCAATGTAGATATTTTAAATTTAATTTATTTGAATACTAATACATTTTCTAGAGCTATTACTTACTTTGCAGAACATTAAACATTCTACATTATATTGTTCTTTAATAACAAAAGCACTGATCATACCATACGCTTCGGTCAATAGAAATAATTTTTAAATAAAGATGGCATGGTAATCGATCCAGAACCATGAGGGGGCAGCAGTACAATGCTCAATTTCGTATGCTTAATAAATTAGTATCATATGATGTTCTCAAACAAGTTCATCAGGTTGGATCATTAAATCACAAGAACAATTTTCTTCTTTACACAACCTTTATTTTAACTTCACAGAACATTAACAGTACTATGGTAGAGCTTCAGTTCAGTTTTATTATTGTTGATAAAGGATCCAGGTGTGATTTGAAATGTTCTGTGTTTTCAAAATAAAAGTTGGGTTAAGAAGAAAATTGTTTTAGTATTATGATGGGTTCCTGGTCTATGGTATGATAGGGGCATGCATACATAGATATTACCTGTGGACTATGGTTAAGAGAAAGCTTCGAAAAATCATAATCATTTGTCTGCAAATAATGCCCAATGTTAAACTTACTGACATTGATTGACAAGAGTGTATTGTTACATTTTTAAAGTCAAGAAAATTTAGTAAAAATCTACAGTACAGAACACAAAAATAAAAAAAATAAAAATATATTTTATCAACCTATTAGATTTTCCATTTCCAAATAATGTATTCACTAAATAAAGTACATTGTACTATTTGATATAAAGAAGACTGGCCTTGATCAATGTTTCCAAGATCAAATAAACTGATTGAACCTCTGAAAAACAGATAAACAGTTATAAATACCATTTTAGCTTGAGATAAGGTCTTAAAATGTTGCTTTTACTGTACCAAAGATTAGTGGATGTTATTAAGTCTCATTTTAAAACAGAGATTTGCATATTTAATCTCAAAAACTAAAAGTTTCCTCTTTCTGATAACATATTTGATTTCTATATTAAAGTATTTCAGTGCATTATTTTTTCAGAAAAAACAAGTTTAAGGCACCACAATCTTGAGTGATATTTAATGATAAAATCTTTATGAGCATGTCAAAAAATGAAATCAAGCTGTTTGCTCAATGATTTTTATGGTAATCTAATTTGAAACATAATTTTATATACCCTGACATTCTACGTGGCCTGACTGAAACACTACTGTCATTGATCTACTCGTCTACTTGTACATATAAAGTGGCAGATCCAGGATTTTGTGTTAGTGGGGGCGTTTGATAATAACTGTAAGCGAACTGATTCCCGGGTCTGATTTCAATGTATGCAATACATTATTGATGATCAATGACCATCTATTTCCAGTTAAAATTCTGAGTGTGCACCCCCAACGCCCCCGTCTAGATCCGCTAATGATATATATATATATCATATATACTGTTCTATTGACTGTAAGTGGTTTTTCTTCTTATGATAATGCAGATGTCCTGGCTGATGGAATGCTGCGCTACACTTATCACATTTATAAGGCTTCTCGCCAGTATGAATATTCATATGGTAACCCAAATGCTGCCTTTTACCAAATGTTTTCAAACACAAATGACATCTTAAATCCTCATTTGGCCTGTTGGTTCTTGTATGAGAAGGTTGTGTTAATGTAACTGTTGTATTATGTTTAATTGCAGACTTCAATGCAGCGTTATTGTAGCCATAGGTGGAGTGATAGTTTGTGTGGTTGGTATCGTGCATTATCCACCCTGAAATACAGAAATAAAGGATTAAATTCATATTTTTGGAGCATAAACAGTTTCGACACAAGATGTCATTTCTTGTTTTTCTATTACAAGAAGATAATGATTGATTAATACATGTACTAACAACTAGGCATTAACATGCAAAATGTTACCACCTGCCATCTGTTATTGATGCCAAACACCAACCACCAAATGGTGAACTCCATCCCCAAAACAAGTTACAGTTATTGAGAAATAAAATAAACAAATAAGATAATAAACATGAAAGTACCAATTGCAATAGTTATCCTACTTTAATTTAAATGGCCAGAAACAAGCTGCTTTGAACTCTTTGATTTGTCATCTATAGTATCAAGAACAATACTTCCATTCTCTGAATTCAACCTTCCCTTAATCTTAAATCTGCATTTTGGGCATCTAATTGTTAATACCTTTATCTGAAGTGAACCTTTTTATGTCTATTCATAGTTCCTCCTTGTCGGAAAGTTTTTGAACAAATGTCACACTTGTATGGTTTCTCTCCAGTATGGATCCGCAAGTGTATTTTATAATTATGCAACAGGGTAAATGTTTTTAAGCACAGTTCACATTGAAAACTTTTGTTTTCTCTAGACATTAATCTTCTTGGGGTCAGGTTTACTAAACTAGGTGTCAAATTAGTTGAATCCAGGTGTCAGGTTATCAGATCCATCATTAGAGAAAGTGCCATAAGTTGAAATCAGCTTATCTGAAAAGATAAAAAGAGAGCTTAGTTGTGCATGACAACAAAATTGGCATTGGCCTGAAGTGAAGAATATTAAGTTTGTGATATGATTTGGTCAGAAAATCTCCTATTGTTGGCACATTTCTCTGGGGGTGTGGATAAATTAAAGCATGGCATGTTCCTATAATGCAAAGTTTAATAAATTGAATGAATAATGAAGCTGTCTTCACAGGACTGCAAAAGCTATATAATTGATGATTTGGGATCACTAGATGAATTATATCTTGTAGTGATGTCACAATTTTCGATTTGACTAGATCAATATTCATTCTAAGCACATGCCAAGTCTAAGATCTTTGACATGATTTAGATAGCAGTAAAGCGCCCCCCGATTTTGAAAAAATGGGGGGCGCTTATAGGCATCGATGTTTAGTATGAATTTCACCGAAACTTCACACATGTAAAGATATACTCACGGTCTAGTCAAATGGGCATACCTGGTAAATATCCGACCCATGGTTTTCATCAAAGAAACAATAACATTTTTAGTTCAAAACTGCCACGTGTCCGCCATTTTGTCTCCCCATCATGTCTCATATCATTTTTATATGACATCACACAAGTAAGACGAAATACATGACAACAGTATCCATAAACAAAATACCTGAATTCTTATCGCAAAAGGCCAATTGAAAAGGTTGTTATGTCTATACCAATTCATCAAAAGAAAAAAGAATGAAATAGCCTTAACCAAATAAAATAAACATAAAATTTATATACTAGGCTAGTTTATATAAAACTAAGCTATTTGTTTATTATGCTATTTGAAAAATACTTAAAAGCATTTCTAAAATGTTTTTCTTTCTCGTCATAAGTCCATACTTTCTGGAATCCAAACTACCTTTAGAGCAGAGGTTATTTCTTAAGTAACCTCCAATAGGTAAGACTCTTTGATTTTTAAGAAGTCAAACAAATGCGAAGGGCTGGGTATTTTCACTAAATCCTATCTATGATGGGTTCTTTTATGTCTATTCATGGTTCCATTCTGTCGGAATGTTTTTGCACAAATGTCACATTTGTATGGCTTCTCGCCAGTGTGGATCCGTAAATGTATTTTATAACAATACAACTGTACAAAAGTTTTCAAGCATAATTCACACTGGTAGATTTTATTGCTTTCTCCAGATGGAAGCCTTCTCGATGTCAGGTCCACTGAATCAGGTGTCAGGTTATTTCCAGGTGTCAGGTTAACTGATCCATCATCAAGAAAAGTTGTCCCATATCCTGGGTTCTGAACATGTGTGTCTGGAAAGATAAAAATAGACTTTAGTATTCTGTGGCTTTGGGACAAATACATGCATGATATATGTGGCACGTGATTAATACAGTAACATTGATGTCAAGATGATGTCTTTAAGGATGACCTGAACTAAACAAAAGTAAACATATTATTATGTTACGACTAACGTAAATCAGCAAACTAAAAGGCAAATACATTTTTTTATTTTATGAAAAATATATTTATTTCAAAAGAAACCTCATATTTTAATTGACCCATTAAAATAAAATGATTGCTATCTAATTTAAAAGCATCTACATGCTATATTTAGGTATCTTAGATACACTAAACTAAAATTGTTAACAAACAGATTATAATATACAGATCACCTGATCAATGTTGTTAGGATTTATATTACTGCAATATAATTTGATCTTGAGTAAATCCTCACTATCGCAAAACTATGATGTAAAAAACATTTAAGTTATTTTCATATTAGATCTGCACATGGGTAATTCTTGTCAAGTTTCTAAATGCACTTTCTGATATCTAACATTACGATGAGAGAAGTCATCTTAAATGGCAATAATTTTCATTGTTTTCTGGATGGCAATTATATCATTTCCATTATTTTCTGAATGGTACTCATTTCCATTATTTCCTGAATGGTACTTATTTCTATTGTATCCTGAATGGCACTCATTTCATTGTTTTCTGAAAAGTACTCATTGCCATTGTTTTCTGAATGGTACTCATTTTGATTGTTTCCTGAATTGAATTCATTTCCATTCTATCTTGAATGGTACTCAATTCCATTGTTTCCTGAATGGTACTCATTTCCAAGTTTCCTGGATGGTCCTCATTTTCATTGTTCCCACAGGCTCAATCAGTTCCCATTTGGGTTCATATTAGACTTATATATCTACTATATTCTATTTTGGCTTATAATGTGATTTTTTATGTCTATTCATAGTTCCATTCTGCCGGAAAGTTTTCCAACATATGTCACATTTATAAGGTTTCTCGCCAGTATGTATTGCCATATGGTAACCAAAATGCTGCTTGGTATCAAATGTCTTTAAACAGATGTTGCAAAATAATTCGTCATTTTCTGGTTTAAATTGTCTCTGTCTTGACACAGTGTGATGTTGAGAGCTAACATGTGATATGTCCTTATTTGGTATCATTGGTATAGTCCCGTAGTAGTCTTGCATGGGAAAGTTTTCTGCAAAATATAGAAATATGTATGAATAATCCTTGAAATTGTGATGAATTCCTTGAAAATTTCTTTTGCGTATTAAATCTGTCAATCTGAAATAAGCCCTACTCATTTTCATATCTATATGAATTAGTTAAGATCATATCATGGTTGATAACCTATCACAGAGCAATCATATCGGTTAAATATATTTTTCACTTTCCTTTGTTTAGAAAGTGTATGTAGACACACCAGGGTTTTATTGTCACAGAACAAAAAAATTATTTTTGAATATAACTTATGAATAATTTTAATTTATGAAAAGTAACTCGAAAACTTATAATTCTAAAGTATCACATATATTCTATACTTTTTGACTAAATTGTAGGATTATTTGACTAATAGCAATAGCGTACAGCATTTAGAGACTTAATTCAATCTATTGCACGATCTTGTATATTTATAATACTGCATTCTCAAATTGTAGAGCAGTTAAAGATTCTTAGTTTCCAGATATAGATTACCAGTTACTGGTTATAGATTCTGGTTTCCTCCATTATGGATCTTTTATGGATGATTTGTTATAAATGTTTATGACAAAATGTTTCAAACAGTGACATATAATTGTGACTTCTGTGTCAATGTCAATGTTCAGTTCAACAGTATTAAAAGTAAGTTCAAAATTGTCTCTCCTGTGTGGGTGCTTGAGATTATATTTTTCCAACTGCAAAGCAAATGTGTATACTGGTATATCCACACAACATGATATGCCCTGTTTTCTATTTATTATACACAGGTATGTTTATAAAGTTTCATTTGCTTTCCATGGTATCAGATAGAGGAACTGATTTAAAGTGCATCATTTTCTTATGACGAGTCAAGGTACTTTTTTGTCGAAACATTTTTAAACAAATATCACATTTGAATGGCTTCTCTCCAGTATGGGTCCTCACATGTGCCCTGAAATTACCAGTATGTCGAAATGTTTTCTCGCAATATTGACATTGATATATTGATACACTGGTCTGTTTATTTCTTATTCCAATATTGTGCTTTGGTATCCAGAGATTTCCACTTGATTTGTCCAATAATCCTGCAATGATAAAGAAGATTGTTATGTTTGGTACTAAGTTGGTACTTAATTTCTACCTTTGGTGCAAGAAGTTGTCTAAAATGTGTTGTTCAGGTAGGGAAAGTATAATGAGAAACAAGGCATTAACATGCTGATTACTACCAACTAAGTAATTAAATATAAGTGTGACAATGTGCTACTGACAATGTACACTGATTATCAACCAATAAACTGATTGTCAATGTCATGCAATGATTGTCAACAAATAAACTGATCGTCAACCAATGAAATGATTGTCAACCAATGAACTGATTATCAATCAATGAACTGATTGTTAATGTCAAGCACTGTTGTCAACAAATGAACTGACTGTCAACCAATGAACTGATTGTCAACCAATGAAATGATTGTCAACCAATGAAATGATTGTCAACCAATGAAATGATTGTCAACCAATGAACTGATTGTCAATGTCAAGCACTGTTGTCCACAAATGAACTGATTGTCAACCAATGAAATGATTGTCAACCAATGAAATGATTGTCAACCAATGAACTGATTGTCAATGTCAAGCACTGTTGTCAACAAATGAACTGATTGTCAACCAATGAAATGATTGTCAACCAATGAACTGATTGTCAACCAATGAAATGATTGTCAACCAATGAAATGATTGTCAACCAATGAACTGATTGTCAACCAATGATTGTTAACCAGTGAACTGAGTGTCAACCTGGAAACCTTCTTTTCAACTTTAGTGTAGAAAAATCTTGTCACATTACTTTGGTAAAAATGGTGTAAAATTACTTTGAAAAAAATGGTGTAGAGTTACTTTGAAAGAAATGGTGTAGAATTACATTGGTAGAAATGGTGTAGAACTACTTTGACAGAAATGGTGTAGAATTACTTTGACAGAAATGGTGTAGAATTACTTTGACAGAAATGGTGTAGAATTACTTTGGTAGAAATGGTGTAGAACTACTTTGACAGAAATGGTGTAGAATTACTTTGACAGAAATGGTGTAGAATTACTTTGACAGAAATTGCGGATAAAATCTGATAAAGGGAACATATGGTGTAGAATTACTTTGGTAGAAATGGTGTAGAATAACTTTAGTAGAAATGGGTAGAATTACTTTGGTAGAAATGGTGTCACTTTTGTAGAAATAGTGTAGAATTACTTTGGAAAATGGTGTAGAATTACTTTGGAAGAAAAAGTGTAGAATTACTTAACCTTGACATTTTGGATTACAAGATGTATTTAGTTGGAAAATAAAGCTT